ATATATCATCATTAAGAAAAACACATCCAGAAGTGATAGATTTGGCATTAAGTAATGCATATCTTCCGGAAGAATCAGATGAATATCAGCAAAACAAAGACATGATTTTCAAAATTATCGAAGAAGTTTTTGATAATAAAGACAAGGAAAGAGATCCAGATTTTGTTGTATAAGGAAGAGGAAAATGGTTTGTGAAAAAATATTTATATGAATAAAATGTGTATGATTATTGTTTATAAAAACAGTTAATAAATATGAGAAACTATTTAATTATTTGTTATATAAAGATTCGATATACAGAACAGAATGAAAAAGGATAAAAAAATTAATCAGAAAGATGTAAAAGTTTGGGAGATATAAAAAATATTATAGAGATAAAATATTTCCTGAGAGATAAAAAAGTCAATGAAAGATGCAACAGTGAGAGACTGATGCAACAGTGTTAATGAGATGGAATAGTGTCTGAGAGATACAATAGTATCTAACAGAAGCAAAAGTAAGTGATAGATGCAACAGTGTCTATGAGATGCAACAGTGTCTGACAGATGCAACAGTGTCTATGAGATGCAACAGTGTCTATGAGATGCAACAGTGTCTATGAGATGCAACAGTGTCTGACAGATGCAACAGTGTCTATGAGATACAACAGTGTCTATGAGATGCAACAGTGTCTATGAGATGCAACAGTGTTTATGAGATGCAATAGTGTGTATGAGATGCAACAGTGTCTGAAAGATGCAATAGTGTGTATGAGATGCAACAGTGTCTGAAAGATGCAATAGTGTGTATGAGATGCAACAGTGTCTGAAAGATGCAACAGTGTCTATGAGATGCAACAGTGTCTATGAGATGCAACAGTGTCTATGAGATGCAACAGTGTCTGACAGATGCAACAGTGTCTGACAGATGCAACAGTGTGTATGAGATACAACAGTGTCTGACAGATGCAACAGTGTCTATGAGATGCAATATTATCTGTCACACATAACAATGTCTGACAGATATATCTTTCTATGATTCTAACCCTAATTACATTTTTCGTAAAAACCTATATTTAAGATTTGCAATTAACACCCTTTTTTCTCTTCCAATAATGCACAAAACCAAGATTTGACATCAGATTTAAAATCTCCATCAAGTCTGCTTTCCAAATCCGCTGTCAAAACTTGAATATCTCAATTAATTAATGATATTCAGATATTGCGAATAATCTTTAGGTAAAGAAGAAAATTTAGGTTGTAAAATCATATAAAAATGTAGTTAGAGAGCAAAAATTATGTTTGAGTGGATTCCATGTCGTAGTGGATCTAGATGTTTGAGTGGCTTTAGATGTATGAGTGGTTTTCAATGTCAGTGTGGATCAAGATGTCTGGGAATAAAAGTAAGTCGTAGGTTAATATAAGTTTGATATTAATGTAAGTATGACTTAAAATGTAAGTCTCGGACGAAAGTAAGTCTGACTTGAAATGTAAGTCTCGGACGAAAGTAAGTATGACTTGAAATGTAAGTCTCGGACGAAAGTAAGTCTGACTTGAAATGTAAGTCTCGGACGAAAGTAAGTCTGACTTGAAATGTAAGTCTCGGACGAAAGTAAGTCTGACTTGAAATGTAAGTTCGGACGAAAGTAAGTCTGACTTGAAATGGAAGTCTGATTCTAAATGTAAGTTCTAGACTAAAGTAAGTCTGATTCTAAATATAAGTCTGATATTAAGATAAGTTTGTAACTAAAATTAAGTCTTATTCCAAAAGCAAATTTAATTGTATAATAAGTCTGGATCTAGAGTAAGCCTTAGTCTACAGCTATTCTGTGTCAAAAATAAGTCACGAACCATAGTAAGTTTCGGACTAGAGTATGTCTGTAATTCGAATCATTCATATTCTTCAATTATCCCGCCAAAAAAATTATCGTCTTTTTATCATACCATAGTTTTTATCAATCTCGTTCTACTAAAAAACCTTTATATTGGTGATTTCTTTGTTAAACCCGTATTTTTTCATGTGAATCTTATTGTATAAACTCTAAAAGTTCAATTTCCGGTCGAAAAAAACTTGAAAACAATTTGTATTCGACGAGTTAAAGAGCTCTATTTATTCTAAATTTTCCAAAAAAAATTAGATTTCGTTTTTTCGCTTCAAAAAATTGTTTTAAGTTTTAAAATTTGTAATTCAAAATTTTTTTGGAAAGATTTACGATTTTTTAATACTGCGAATGAGTTTTATTTTACATACTCTATTGATAAATCATATTTTTGTCGAGATATAACTTTTTTTTAAAAAAATTATATGCAAAGAGTGTTATAGAATTCTAGAAGGTATAGTGCATAATTTGAAGTATACTATCAAATAAAGAAATTTTACAGTTTTTTAGTTTTATTTAGATGTACGTTATTTTAGATGGCTTCGTCGAAAACAAAGCATGTCTGTTAAGTTTATTCTTAACATGGTAAATAAAATGGCAACGAAGCCCAGTGTACTGCGTCTTATGCCGTAGTTTTTGTTATCTTCATACTCAAATACAACAAATACAAATAGATTTATTACGAAAAAACGTATAAAACAAATGATATATTTATTTCTAGACAAGTTGACGAACATGTAGCGCAACTGTATCGCTTTAGAGAACAGTTCTTCCAACACCTACTCATTCAGTGAAAGATTTAAGAAGAACTCTTACTCGACCTTAACTACCTACGCTTTGCTTGAACAATTCCCAACGAGGTTACTATAAGGTTGCAAGTCTTGTCAAAATGTAGTATGCAATACGTTGGGGAAAAATAGATATATACGAACAAACTACTACAGTCTAGCAACTAGTCTTTAAGTGTAATGTATTTTTGCTACAAAGAGCTCATAACGAAGTCAAATTTTGCAATTTGATGTCAAAACTAGCTAGTTGTTGAATCAAATAGCGTTGTGACTTTGTATACATCACGATCTTGTGGTATCAGAGCTGTACTGCTGCAGACTAATTCAACTAAACATGAGCAAGATTGGGATTTCTATTCTCTGGGGTGCGAGGCTCGTCCAAAGTTCAAGCAGCTACAGTGTTTTGGATCACCTAAAGAACTTTGGGAATTCAGTTATTACGTAAATTTCTCAAGATGAACTTGAGAGCAGCGCAGTTATAACGAAAGTCTCTGATGAAAGGCAATGATTTCTTTCATGAATGATCTAACGTTAGCTTGAAATCAGGAAAAGAGACTATTGATGACTTACTTTCCATCGATGGTGCACAACAGCAGGGAGGGGATTGGTGGGTTTGGGGAAATTCGCTGAGGCACTAGTGTCCGGATTGTTCGTCAAATAGGTTTCCTTTCCTATAAAGAAATGACACTTTTTTGGCGGCTTATTGACTCAGAAAAATTTGAGAGTTAACGAATAATTTTGGCGCCAAAAATAATTTCTCTTAATTTATTAAATTTAATATACGCACATCCATAAGTTATGCTATTTTTTCTATTTATTTTGTTCTAAAATTCTAAATATTTTTTTTTCATAACATAAAATATGATGTCTAGTCTCATTTACATAACAACATGCCTTAGAATAGGTTTTTTATTCTTTTTGTCACTTTAAATTAAGAATAAAAAGATAATTTAAATTGAATATTTGCGATTATTCTCACTAATGCTGCTTCCTCTTTTATTAGGTAGACAACAAAAAGTTAGCCTTGGACTCCCATATCAGATTTTTGATTGGTTGCGTATATAATGAGCTGGGATTGATAGACGAAAACCCAGTGAGAAAATTTTTGACGCCAATTTCAGATTTTCTTTTCATTACTGCTTTTCTTAATAGGTCAAGTTCTTATTTACGTTATAAAGTATGATATTTACAAATATCAAGTTATCGTGTTTTTTGAGAAATTATGAGAAACAAACAAAAATGAAAAAGATAGGAATAGCAATGAATAGTGATGTGTGTATAGAAAATGTAAGAGATATGAATGCAAAGCAATCAGTATTTAGGACATTGACCATAGATTTCGAAAAAAAAATGCTGCATATTGAGCGAAAACTATGATTATATTATAAGGCTGTCATTTAAAGCATAATGAAACTATTCCCTTTTCATTTTAATCGAATAAGATAGTAAAGATTTTTGAATTAGCTAGAAACTGATGAGATGTTTTCACAAATCAGATTTTTAATCTCTATAATGCATAATTCACTCAATATCTCAATTTTGATATTGCGAGATATTTTTGCTATCGGTTTCGCAATTTTGACACAATAGCAAGAGGGTTCTATAAGCATTATTATCAACGTAGAATCTGAATATCATATCAGAAAATGTCGCAAATCTGACATTTACCCGACCAAATAGCAAAAATAATTGAATACTTTTCGCAAAAACTTTAAAAATCGATAAAAATATGAAATATAGATATTAAAGAGACTTTTTATATAATATTCATAAAGATTTTCCAAAAATATGATACCGCAAAATTAAAAAAGTGACGTCTTGAGTGGAGTCAAAGGTCGAAATTGCTAGCTAAATGTTTTTTAGCGAAATTGCGTATTGTACGTTTTTTTCGCAAAACGAAACCCTTATTTAAACTATTTATTTAACAAAAAAATATTCATGTGAAAAAAATCTGAAAAGGGGATAATAATACAAGCACTAAAATATTTATTAAAAGGTATAGGACTCACTAAATCTCGGATTTTGTTTGATATATATTTGTTCTTTGTTATCGATGACGACATCTTTGAAAGAAACATTAAGGTATCTGCCAAAGTCTACATCAATAGTTAAATTATTTGTGGACTGCCATAGGACGCTTTAATAGAGAGAAATTCGGCTAAAGATAGTATTTGAAGCAATGAAATTGAAAGAAAGCTCTATCGTGTTGGCATCGTTTGTTAAATTTGAGAAGTTTATTTCCGCCCTAACATGTCACCGGGTTCTCAATTATGTGAATTCTGCCATTCAATTTTTTTTGTCAATCAATTGAATGACTTTCAATTTTATTACTATAAATGTTTTATCCTAATTACATGTATTTCGAAGTTATGAATCAACAGAAGCGTAAGAAAAGGATCTTCACCAAGGAAGAAGATGATCTCATCCTTAACTATGTGAATAAATATGGACAAAATTGGAGAGAAATCGCTGGCATGCTCCAAGGCAGAACCGAGAAGCAATGCCGTGAGAGATATCGAACATACTTAAATCCATCCATTAGAAAGGATCCATGGACCCCTGAAGAGGATAATCTCCTCATTCAGCTCTACAACACTTATGGTCCAAAGTGGGCTGAGCTTGCCAAGCACTTCCAGGGAAGATCAGATAACATGCTCAAGAACAGATTCAACTATCATATTATCAAAAGACCAAGACACTCAAAGAATATTTATCCTAAGAAAGTTATTCAGGAAAATGTTCCTTCAGAAACTAGCGCTGTATCTAGTCCTGTTAACCAAGAACCAGTGGAAACAGGTATCTCCATTGATTTTGAGGACTTAGATTCCCTTATCGATTTTGAGCAATCGATATTTGAAATATAATCTAGTTGTTATATATTTGTTTCTTGTTTGTTAATAAATACTAATAGATTATTAAAATCGTTTTTCAATTTATTTCTACAGTTCAAAAATTGAATAGAAAATTTAAACGTCAGGTGAATTGAACATTTATAAGAATATGTGTTCGTTAGCCCTAATAAATAATCATTATCCATTCCAAAATAAAATTGTAAAATAAGATTAAAAATGGCAAAATGTATAGACGATGATTCAAAAGTTTACATCATTCAAAAAAAAGTTAGAACCACGAATTGAAACAAGTATTTGTAGGGTATGATTATAATCAATGTGTACAAGATAAATATTCATATCATTTTGCTTAGAAAAAAAGAGAGATAATTCTAAATATAACTGTTTTTTTGTTTTTTTTTACTTAAAATTAAAAGGTATGTGTGTGTGTATGTATGTTTAAAAATTACTTAAAAAAAAAAAACTTAGAAGTTATCAGCCTGATGCTTTGAAGTACGCTTTTTAGCGGCTTCCTTCTTTTCGACTGGCTTCTCTTCCTCTTTCTTTTCTTCTTCTTCCTTCTCCTCTTCTTCCTTCTTCTCTTCCTCCTTCTTCTCTTCCTCCTTCTTCTCTTCTTCTTCCTTCTTTTCTTCCTCTTCCTTTGATGCTTCTTCGGAGGACTTCTCTTCCTTCTTCTCGGCAGCCTTCTCTACTGGAGCCTCTACTTCCTCTTTGCCGGACTTAGCGCAGACGACAACGATGAGGATGATTGGGATGAGAACGATAGCAGCTGTGCAGCCAATGACGACAACCTTGTTCTGGTTGTAGAGGTTCATGTAGGCATCAACGAATGACTGGACGTAGTTGGAGAGCTTCTGAGCGAATCCTTCACCGGCTGGTTCAGCTGGCTTTGGTTCGAGCTTCTTCTGTTCAGCCTCCTGCTTGACGTGCTTTGGCTTGAAGTGGTCTTCGTTCCACTTCATGACAGCAGCCTCATCCTTGCCGACGTAGATGTTTGTGAAACCGAGCATCTTGTTGACTTCCCAAAGATCGAAGCCGACAGCTGTGATTTCCATGAAGTTGTGTGGGTGGTTATCCTCGAAGTAGTCTGGGTTGTCGATCTGGCGTGGCTTCCAAACACCCTTGTAAGCTGGGTTGTCAATAAGAGGAGCATGCCACTTGCCCTTGTAAGCGGAGTTCTTGATGAGTGGAGCTTCGTATTCACCGCAGCCTGGAGCAGCAGCGCACTTTGGATTAGCAATTGTTGGAGCTTCCCATTCGCCGTGGATATCTTCATCCCAATCCTCTGGCTTCTTAGCATCTGGATCTGGAACGAACTTTGGTTCATCGAAAAGCCAGCCCTCTGGAGCTGTAGCCTTCTCTGGGTCTGGGATGTATTCTGGAGCATCTTCGTCCCAATCTTCTGGCTTCTTGGCAGCTGGGTCTGGGATCTTGGCCTCATCAACCCAATCAGCTGGCTTCTTGTCTGTTGGATCATCGATCATCTTTGGTGTGTTAACAGATGGATCGAAATCTGTAAGAAGGTTGCCCTGCTTGACGGATTCGGCATCGATAAGGATTTCGAATGTGTTGTCTGGGCGGACAATGAGGGTGTAAAGGTGGTTGTTCTTGTCTGTCTTGATAGATGGAGCATCAGTCATATGCTTCTCTTGGATAACGCCTGTCTTTGGATTCTTGTGGCGGAAGATGAAGTGGACCTTGTTTGTGCTGCCGCATTTATCTGGACCGAACATGATAGAATACTTTGTCTCATTTGAAACTTGGTCTTGGTTGTAGTTCTCGTTAGAGAAGAGCTTAACGTAGGCACCACCGCAGTTAAGTTCTTCCTCAAGACGAACTTCGTATTGGATAACAAGTGTTTCGTCCTTGAGCTTAAGTGGGGATTCAAGTGGGATAGAAGCACCGTAGTACTTGGAAGCAGCCTTCATCTTGAAGAGCTTCTCGCCTGGAACAGCTTGTGGAGCAACTGCATCTTCAACAGCCCACTCGCCTGTGATGTTGGAAAGTTTGGAAATGATGAACTTATCCTGCCAGTCTGGATCGTTTGCAGAGAGGAAGTAGACATAGCCTCCCTCTGGATGTGTTGGGATATTGTCCTCGGCAGCGCGAGCGCCATGTAAGAACAAATTAAGAAACATAATAAAAAATGCGGCCAGTTTGTTCGGCCGTTTTGCCAATCAGCGAAATTGAATATAAAATTATCGTTTTCGATTCCACATATTTGTCATCTCACTTAGGTATGCGAATTAATTAACTATGCGTAGTAGTTGCTATTTATTTGGAAATTGGCAAATTCCGTAAAATAAGCAAATTCTCATGGAATTCAAAATTCTATTGATATAATGCGGCCAATCAGAGAATAATAGATCTATCTATAAGATTCAAAAATATATTTGCAGGAAATAATCAAATAATCATCACTTTTTATAAATAACAATAATTTATGCAAACAAATAGCTTCAATTTTAAAGTTACATTACTATATACTCGTTCAATGTCCCTATTTGAAAGCGAATCAAGATCTAGTGGCAGCAAATAACCTTCCGATTCCCCGCCAAACAATAATTTCATAATTCTATGATTCACATGCAAGAACGCTATAAGAATTCACCCAAATGAATACGTACTTTTTGCGGAATAGCAAATGCGAACTTCCTCAGAAAAAATTTGAGTTCATCCGAAATAATCTATTTCTCATTTGTTTTTCATAATAATAGCATTGAAAACATATTGGTAATCATTAAATCACCATTATGCGTGAAATACATAACGGAGAAATTAATTTTTCAGAAATTGTCGAATTGTATCATTTATCTCCTGCTGATGCTGAATTCTCCCTTGCAATTCATCACATTCGTTACTAAGATTTGAGATTTTTTCCTTCAACATTTGGATTGTTTCAGCATTGTATTTTCTAATTGAAACATGAGTATCAATTTTGTAGTGGCACTCAGACATGTTAATTTGTATTGGTTTTATGCGTTCAATTCTCGACATAAGATCATTTTTAATTTGAATTAGTTTTGAGCGCTCGTTTTGGAGCTTTTTAACGTTTGTTTGGCATTGACTTTCTGTTTTTAATGAAGTTTTCCTCGATTTTGAGCATTTTTTGACTTCATTTTTGTTATTCATGATACTTGTTTTTAATTCTAAGATCTGTGCCTTTAATTTCTCACTTCCTTTGTCTATTTCGTCTATTCCTTCTTGAACTTTACTTCGTTCTGCATCTAAATTTTGTAATTGTTTTGAAAGTCTTTTCTGCTCTTTAATAATAGAAGATCTTCTTTCTTTTTCTTGCTCGTACAAATATTTTTCTGATTCTAGCTTTGATGTAGCTTCCATGAGAGATTTCTTCAATTCTTCAATTTTGATATTCTGTTCTGTAATAATTGCTGATTTCTCAATAATTATTGTTTTCAGTCCTTCTATTACATCTGCTCTGTCGTCTTCAATTGAATTTTCTTTATCAGAAATATACTTTCCTTCACTTGGAGTATAATTTGCATCATCATTAAAACTTACGTGCAAAACTCTATGAGGTTCATTTATTTGGACTTTCTGTTTATATGAGAAACTCTCCATTTCTTCATTTTTGCTAGCTTTGTCTGTGGATGTGGTTATTCTTTCAGTATTTTCAAGTTTATTACTAACTGATATTGGTTGAATATTCTTTTTAGTCATAATGATGTTTGCAAGATTCTCATCAATTTCTTCATTTTCACTTGTAATAATTGGCTTTTGAGTTGTCTCTTTAATATTTTCTTTTTGGAGTTTTACAATAGGAGGCTGGATATTTCTTTTTGTCATTATGACGTTTGCGAGATGATCATCAATGTCTTCGCCATTTGCATTTTCTGAATCTTGAGATGCTGCTTTCATTTCTTCGTGAATTTCTGTTTTTGACTTTATCGAAACCGTATCAATATTTCTTTTCGTCATTATAATGCTTGCAAGATTATCATCAATTTCTTCATTTTCACTTGTACTAGTTTGGTTGTGAGTTGTTGTTTTTAGATTTCCCGAATTTTCAGCATGAAGCTTTACTGCAGGAGGCTGTACATTTCTTTTTGTCATTATGATATTTGCAAGATTATCATCAATTTCTTCTTCGCTGCTTGTATCTGTTGAATCTTGAGTCGAAGTTTTTATATTTTCTGGATTTTCTGATTTAGAGTTTAGCGATATAGGCTGAATATTCTTTTTGGTCATAATAATATTTGCAAGATTTTCATCAATTTCTTCACTATCACTTGAAGCACTTAAATGTTGATCTTGATCTTTATTATCAGTAGAAATTTCAGATTTAGTATTACTTGATAAAAGCTGTATATTCTTTTTAGTCATAATGATATTTTCCAGGTTTTCATCAATTGCTTCATCTTCTAATTCTGAAGATTCATCTTTGTCATCATTATTTGTTTGAAGATTATTGATTCCTTTATTAGCAACAGAAATATCGTTATTGTTTTTACTTTTTTCAGATGTTTCTAATCGATTTTGATTCATTGAAAGCATACTTTTTTCTTTGATATCACTGCCAGGTGAAGTTTGGATTTGATCTTTCGATGCAACAGTATTAGGTACTTGTGTAATCGCCTCTTTATTATTACTTTCTTCAAGTTTATGATCAGCATTGATTGGATTGATTGATGGTTCTGAATATTCAATTACATATTCATATTCTGTTTCTTCCATAGATGTTTCTTCTTCATTTGTTTTGACTCCAATGTTTATGCTTGTTAACTGTTTTGAAGAAATTTCAGCCTGATTTACATCATCTTCTTTCTTTATTGATTGAGATTTATTTTCAATTTCATTTTCTTTATTTATACTTTTATTTTGCTGATGGAATTTATTATCTTTCAAATCAATATCAAGTGATAAATCATCTTCACTTTCTGAAGTAGTTTCTTGATGTAGAGCTTGCTTTGATGTAATATCATTATTTTCAGTTGTTTTACTTTTGTTTGATTTGAGATCAAGTGATAAATCTTCATCACTTTCAGAAGTACTCTCATGATGAATTATTTGCTTTGTTTCTTTTTGTTCATTTTGGTTTTGAATATTTTTATGTAATTTTATTTCTGATTCAGTTCCTACGTTTTCTGATGCATTTTCCTGAGATACAATTCGCTTTACTGTATCTACATCTTTATTAGATGTTTGGTTTTCATTTGGTTCTGTATCAATTGATAAATCTTCGCTTTCAGAAGTACTTTCATGCCGAAGAATTCTTTTAGATGCATTTTGATCATTATCTTTTGCTTTATTATCATTTGATTTGATATTTAACTTTAAGTCTTCTTCACTTTCAGATGTGCTTTCATGACGTAGTATTCTTTTGGACGCATTATTATTTTTGTTAGATGTTTCATTTTGATTTGATTTCAAATTAAGCCCTAAGTCTTCTTCACTTTCAGATGTGCTTTCATGACGTAGTATTCTTTTGGACGCATTATTATTTTTGTTAGATGCTTCATTTTGATTTGATTTCAAATTAAGCGATAAGTCTTCTTCACTTTCAGATGTGCTTTTATGACGTAGTATTCTTTTTGTTTCTTTGCGTTCATCATTAGAATTTAGTATGTTTTTATGTGAAACTTCATGTAAATCTGATTCACTGTCATCACTCTCAGTCTTTGGTGAGCTGGGCTTTGGAAAATCAAGATCGCTTAGTTTCTTTTTTGCAGCTAATTTAGAATCGTTTTCATTATCTGAAGAACTACTATAATGAAGTAATTTTCGCCCTGATGGCTTGTTATTTACCTTTAAATTTGCATTAGTTCCACTATCAGAAATATCGACACCAGTAGATGATTTATCTTGTGTCTTAACAATATTTGTTTGTAAGTTACTTCCTGTATCAAGATTTTTTGAATTTTCAGATCTATTAGCAAGATTTAATTTGCTTTGAGAATTTTCTGTAATATCAGTTTTTATTTTTTCATCCTTATTCGCATTTTTTGTAGTATTTGAATCGTTTTGATTATTTTTTGGAATATCTTCAATCGAAGGTTCATCTTCCTCCTCGTAAATTTCATATTCATATTCGTATGATGCATCGTTATTCTGATTTTGTGATTTTTTGTCTTGAATTTTATTTTCTTGAGGCAATTTTGTAATTTGATTTTTTTGCAACCCTAAATCTTCGCTTTCATCTGCAAAAGGATTTTGACTCCTCTTAGTAAAAGGTATATCCTCAAATAATGACTCAGATTCTGTAGAATATGAGTCATCCATTAATAAACGTACACAAAAATGTTATCATTTTTTATTTATTTCAAAGATATCTTTGGGAAATTAAGCATTAAAAATATAAGTATAGGGTGTTGATTTATTGTAGATTCAAAAGGCAAAAAGTGGGTGTAGGTGTGTTGTCTTGAAGGAGATTGAATTGAGGAAAAATCGGATAAAAATATAAATGTCACTTTTTTATCCGAAAAAATGGGTTGCACAAAGATGTTGAGTGGAGCATCATTTGCACTAATTACAATTCTGTCAATTGGAGTTGTGAGCGCAATGACTGGATATGTTATTTATTTCCTGTTAAAATCAAATATTAAAGTATCCGAACCAAAAATTATTACATTTTCATGCATAGCACTTGCATTTTCTCTTGTGTTCTTCCTTATATGCATTATCATTCCATGTTTTAATGTCAGACGCCTTAAAATGGCAACATCTTATTTGTATATTGTTTACGCGCTATTTCTCATTGCAACTGTTATAGTTCTATACATGTTTAGGATGAAATTTAAGAAAATTTTTGATGATACTTATGAAAAAGATCCAAAACTTTTTCCATGCCAATTCTTATTCCCCTACAGTGGTTGTGGTGGTCAGAACGATACAATATCCTGCCCCGCCAAGGAAGGACATCAGAAAGACGAAACTAAATGCAAAGATGCGTTTATCAAGAAAATTGATCACAGAATGTTGGTGTTCTCCATTGTTATGATTGCTATTGTTGTTTTACTTATTTTCGGAATTATTGTTGCATTCTATATCGCATGTCAATCATATACTGATTCCGAAATTGGTGTTAGATTAACAGCTACTCAAATGACATCTCTTACTTATGGTTGGTAATATCTTTCATTGTTTTTTTTACAGTAAAAATTATCTCAATTCGGATTTTAGAGTCGTGCCATTGACATTTTAATTCTATTAATTTAATAAAAACTTGCTGTCTATTTGAAAGACTTAGGATTTTCAATTATTTTTATCGATTAAAAAAATTATAAAAATATCGGTTGGATTTATAAATTATTAAGATTTATATGAGTTGTACATTATTATTCCACTCATATTAGTCTAAAAACCATCATCTATTTTTCTTTGACGGTTTTGGCTGGCCTTTTGCAATGAAGTACATTGCTGCTTATCTTCTTTCAGTTGCTGCTGGTAATGCTAAGCCAACACAAGAACAGGTCAAGAAGATCCTCGAGGCCGCCGGTGTTGAAGTTGATGCTGCTCAACTTGAACAAGTTATCACAAAGATGAACGAAAAGTCTGTTGAAGAGCTCGTCGAGACAGGCAAGAATGAAATGGGCAAGGTTGGTGGTGCCGCCCCAGCCCATGCTGGTTCTGCTCCAGCTGCCGCTGCTGCCGAAGCTCCAAAGGAGGAAGCCAAGGAAGAAGAGGTTGTTCAACTTGGTGTTGGTGATATGTTCGACTTTTAAATATAAATTGCCTTTAAATTTATTTTTATCAAAAAAGAAAAAATGAAAAAATTTAATTTCAAATGAATCCAAAAATGAAATATCTAATATCGATACTTTAGAATTTGACATTCGAATTCCTATACATCGACCTAGAAATTATTAGGAATCATACTTGATATTTGATATTTTCTGAATTTTGCTTTTTTTTTACTTTTTAATGAATAACACTTGATTGTCCTATAAGTATAAATGGCCTATGAGTAATATGTTTCAATTTTCCCTGAGTAGGTGCCAAAAGTGCTTACTCTTAAACAACCGTCGGATTTCCGGGTGAAATCGTGACACACTTTCGTCTTTCGTAGGCGGTGGTGGTTGTTACAAAAGGTAACTTCGAATGTAGCGTGAAATCTGCAAAAAAAATTCTGAAATTTGAATGGATAACACAAAAATTGAATAGTTTACGTCAATAAAAAAGAGAAAAATGAAGCCAATGTGTCTCGAACCTAGGACTTAGAGCAGCAATCCCACTGTTTATCACATTACACTACATGCATCTCTCACCTCAGTGAATGAGATCAACTATATGATAACTTTTCCCCCATTATATTCTTGTGGAAAAGTGACAAATAGCAACTTTGACCCTCTCTCTTTTTTTTTACTTTTTAATGAATAACACTTGATTGTCCTATAAGTATAAATGGCCTATGAGTAATATGTTTCAATTTTCCCTTGTTGATAATTTTTTTTGATCAAATAAGGAAATTAGGTTGATGAGTCTTTGTAAATAAGCTCACATCCATATTTTAAAGCATTTGTTACAGTGAATTGTCGGAAATTAATTTCGATATCATTTTGGAAAAATTATTAACCAGGATAGAATAAAAGTCAATAGTAAATCTAAAATAGTTAGTTGTAGTTGAATTAAAAATGGCTATATATCCCAATATATTTAGTAAAAAGGTTTTACTGAGCTAGATCGAAAGCAGCACGGAAAGCATTGAGCTCTTCTGTCTCGACCTTGCCGTAGCCAATGATAGCGCAGGCGCCGCAGTTCATCTGGCGGCGGACGGAGCCGTCAGCCTTAAGATGTGTGAGGCCAAGAGCTCTGCCGAGGAGTTCCTTCTTCTCAACAGCCTGGAGCTTGACGTTGTGCTTCTTGCAAAGGCCAGCAACGAGGTTCTTGTAGTCCTTGTTTTCTGTATCATCAGCAAGAAGAACAAGCTGAACCTTGTCCTTAAGGATAGCCTTGATTGTGCACTTGATGCCCTTAGCAACTGTTCCGGAAAGATTGATTTGGTGGAGACCAGCCTCGATGACCTGGTTATTGGTAGCACCTTCTTGAGACATAAGATGAAAAGGAAGACCAAAACCGCCATCGAGTTTACAAAAATCGTCAATTCGAAGTTGGTCTGATTTTTGTTTCTTATGAATCCTATAATTACGTATATTAAAATTTTGCTCTCATTGTTCTCTATTTGTAAGAAATTATTTTCGATAAAAATTAAAATTCAAATTTGGGCAAAATGATTTCCAGAATACGAATATACTCATTGAACTTGTTGTGGATTTTATAAATACATATAAGATTACAAAAAAATATCAGAGTCATTTGGCATCAGACACCTCTTTTCCATTTGAAACAGCACCCATATATGTAGCTCTGCAAAATCGATAAATCGCCGCGCAAACCAGAAGTAAGATTTTATTCATTATACAAAAGTGACAAGTGGGGTGCAATGAGTGAATATCAAAATTCCTCAGCAATCACTATTGGTAAACCTAATACATATAATATCCAGGATGACAGAATCGGATCTATCGGTCCATTGGATTTTAGTACGCTAAAATATTGGTATGAGTCCGGTATGATTGATAATAATGCCAATATTTTAGATGGCAATACGGGCCAAACTATGCAAATAACAAAAATATTAGAAGAGTCTACGCAGACAGCTTCTCCAATGCCAAATTGGTTTTTATGGACAACAAATCAAACGCCTTTTAACAATATGTTCGCACGTGTAAATAAATGCTTCGTTTCAAAGCAATCCCTTACGGATTTTAAGATTGCAAATACGCAATTTTCATTCGGTTCTGTTCAAGATTATGAATTGTTCTTAGAGCAAGAAATTGAAATATCACCTGCGGTAAAGAAGTTTAATATTAATAAGTTAGCACAACCATTTGCCCAATGGGTTTATAAAACATTTACAGATCTTCATACTGATATTACTCCCGAGGAAGTTTTAGATTTTATTCTAAATCCAAATCCTGATTATTGTAGATCTGTAATTAATTCGAGAGTTAAGCCAGAATCCGTTGCAAATAAGTTTTTCTCTGTTTATAATCAATGGCGTGTCTATATTCCTTGTTTTGTTGAAAATGTCCAACAAAATAACTAACTATGTATTTATTCCATGTCAATAAACTGTATTGTAATATTAACTGAATCATATTTTTTCATATATCAAAGTTATAGGTTTAATTCATGTTGCGATAACTACCCTGTGATCTCATGAGTATTTAGAATGTTTATTGTTATTAGATTCTAATTAATTTGATTTTCAAAAATCTAAATTCTTCAAACCACGGAACTTAGATAATAAAATTTTGATCTGTTGTCCTCGTTTGCTTTATAGATTGGGTATCATGAAATTTAGTAATTTAGGAAAAAAACCAAAAATATGAAACAAGCAAAATCCTCAGCGAAGCCATCAAAGAAAGAAATGCCAATTGATATTCTAACTTCGCTGGGGTATATCAAAGAAAAGATTCCTCGTGCTGCTTCTGTTCCATTAAATAGGTGGGCTTTGGAATTGTTTTTTGAATTCCAAAGGTCAGACTCTGTAAACGTAGTATATACGGCAGATCATTTAGAACATGGATTTGTTGTAATAGCAAATGGATCTAAGATTCCAGGACTTGAAGATCTTTCTAAAATTCTCGATCAATGTTTCATCTTTGTTTTCACAGACATTCTTGTTAGCGATGGAAAGAAGCGCGCAAATGAATTCATTTCACGTCAAATGAAATTTACAAGTCCAAAAATTAGTGAAGAACTTGTACCATTATTGATGGAAGTCGAGCCTCAAAACATCGATTCCATTCCTGAAATACTAGAATACAACTTAATGCCTACGCCTAAAGACCTCCAACCCGAGTTTTACACAAATCTTAATAAATTTGCAAATGAATGCAAAGTCTCTGGCGCAATTTTCCTTCTTCGCCGCTATTTCCACGATAGAATGCCTCGCCCGTCTGTTTTGCATCAAACAAACTCAGGATACAATCGTCCATTAGATGTTATTTTCAGATCAGACAAAAGGAAGCCATTTTTTGATGAACTGAAAGAAGAAGTTCAATACAATCAGAACCAGATCCAAACAAAGAAGGTTACAGCTAACAAACAGCTTCTTCCAACGTTAACTTCTTTAACAGTTCCAGAATTCGCCCAAATGTGTGCAACTAATGCATATTCAGGGCTATCAGCGTTTTCTGTTGATCAACAGCTTTATCTCTTTAAGAATGGACAAGATGCAAAGGTTATTTATACAATGGATGATGAAATTACTTCAATTTCATTTTCAACATACGGAAACTTTATACTAGCAGGAGATAATGTTGGAAATATTGTAGTAATTAACACAGATACCTTAGAATCCCAAAAATTCAAGCAATTAAATTCGATGATATCAACCAGTTGTTTTACTCCAAAATTAGATACACAGTTTGCTGTTGGAACATTATCTGGACTTGTTGTTGTGTTTTCTACTTCTCAATTCAATCCATTAAGAGTTTTTACTTTGCATCAAGCTGGAATTGCATTTGTAAACATTCACCCTAATGGAGAATACGTTGCTAGTGGCTCTAGAGATGGAATCATCCGTCTTTGGTCGCTCACTCTCAGTGCATGCGTTAGAGTATTTTCAATTGATAAGAAAATTCCTATTTCTTCTAGATTTAGCCATAGTGGTGAACTCCTGATGGTTGTTTGCTCAAAAGGAGTGGTTTTGATCTTAGATCTTGGAACAAATCAGATAATTAGTCAATTAACGATAGAAGCACGTTTAGTTGATGCTGATTTCTCCGAAAAGGATACATATATAGCCATTGCTGATAATTCTGGAGGATTTTCGTTCTGGGATTCTTCAAATTTAGCTGGCGATCCATTGATTTCCCTAACAACAGAGGGGATTAGTACATTCTCTGTTAATTTTGTTGGTATGAATGAAATTAGATTATTTGGAATGCAAAAATCGCAATAAAATGTTTAATTTATCTTATTCCTTATAGAATTCAAAATTTAATTTGTTTGACTGGATATTTTTCTGTTTATTAGTTGTTTTAGCTCAGAAAAAAAAAAATTATTTCTCTAAATACTGAAATTTTATATGATAAAAAGAACAATAATATGAGGTAGTCATTCTGATTATTCATTTTTCTTCTTTTTCTTCTTTGTCTTATCTTGTTCTTCTTCTTCTTTGAGTAATTGCATTGCTTTCTTAAGGGTTTGATTATGAACGCATTTCTGTACTCTAGCAGAAACCAAATAAGCAAGAAGCATTGTTACTCCAAGGAAGCCCCAGCCGAATAATGTATCACCCCATGAATTTGGTTCAAGATCCATAGCATCAACGTCTTTATAGAATGAAAAGAACTTCCATTCTTTATTTGATGGATCGAATATATGTAAATTAATGGCTTGGCCATTGGCTACAACAAAATTAAAAAGTTTTGTATCTTCCCATTTGCCAGAGCATGAAGATGGTGGTTCTATAAATGGTGCTAACTCAATTTGAGCAATTTGTCTGTTTCCTTCAAAGATTTGAAAAGCAGATTTTGATTGGAAAATTGCTTGGTAATGTTTGACTGTTTTGTTTGTTTCTGTATCGATAAGTATTAAATGTGAAGCATTAGATTTTTCGATGTTTGTGACATTTAAACGAAATTGTTTATAACTAAGTTCACTCTTTTGAGGATCTGAAACATTTCCTAACCAGAATCCTTGCATTACGTATCTTATGTCAAGGCCACCAAATGAATATGCCAAAGAAAATAAAATCGAAAACATTGAAAAAAAAAATGGCAAAACTATTGAATTTAAAATTGATCAAAAAAAGATATGCTATTATTACCAGTCATGAATCAATCTCAAAAATAATATATAGGGGGCGACCATCATAAGAAAAATTTTTCGAAAAATAGGGGGTGTTAGTATACTCAACCCCCTCATTAATTATCGTTTCTAGAGGAATAGGAACAGAGGCCTTTTTTCAGGTAACCTTTAAGAAGTTTCCGAAAGAGTTTATGCTCATATAACCTCATTTCCAGGTAAATAGGGGGCATTGTTCTACTAAAAGTTTAGTTGCATACTGGCCTCGTTTCCTAAGAAACTTAATCAAGAGGCTATCTCAATAAGCCTTGACCAATAGGAATAGGATAAAGGAATATGTAATATTGAACTGCCGTAATCTTAAAGCAATAACCGATAGACACAAGCTCATCACTACTTGTTTGGTTGTTCAACGAATCTTTTTATATCATAGTACACTACGCGTATCTCATACCTCCATTCAATAGATGATTTACTCATAATTACATTTAAAACCCAAAAGTCGACATTTTTTTGAAAATATTATTCAGATTCAACGAAAATTTTCATTGATAATACAGGCATATAAAAGTTTCCAAGATGTAATTACTTGTCTTAACAAAAAAATTCATTCTCTTTCTATAATTTGAACAAAATTATGCAACCATCAGGATTTTCGTTCAGAAATCATGTTTCATTCCTCTATGTATATAAGAAATCATATTTTCTACGGAGAAAACTCCATTTTTTATATTTTTCCTAAATTTTAATTTTTTACTTCTTTTTAATTTCCTTTTATTAAGAGCACACTATCATCCTTGAAGGATTTTCAATTTTTGCATCACAACTACATTGTTGCATATTTTTACCATAACAATTCTTATCTATTGTTAACATTCACTAAATTCGTGCACACATTACTTTTTCATATATGAAAATACTGATAGCTTCTTAAATTTCCAATTGAATCTTTCCTTTTGTACATTTTGTTTGAAAATGTTTTTATTTTTCTGCATGAATATCTTAACACTTGGGACAAATATATATATCAAAACCAAACTAATAGATTCTAGGCTCAGATATTTTCAATTTTCTTCTTATTTATTCTCCAATGTGATTATATGAGAATTCTGATAAAACATTCTCGTATTATGCATGAGAAATATATTATGCATGAGAAATCAAATATATTACAGTCATCTTTCAATATGCAATGTTTATGGTAATACTTAAATTTTTATCTCTTTACACTAACTTTATTATGAAAGGCATATTACAATGTTAAATTCACATCAAAATAGTGCAAAACGTATCTTATATTAATTCCAGACTTCAAAATATTTAATGAAATTTAATTTCCTTCAAAAATTAGAATAACCATTTCAAATTAAGAAAGCAAAATTATAAAGTAGCAATACGGGTTCATTTGTCTTTGATAATAATAACAAATATTGATTTAATAAACAATTGAACTTATTAATTTTCGAGTAAAGATAAAATTATTCGAGAAAATTAATAAGTTCGTCATCTTCTATTAATTTTCACATGTTTTAGAATGGATAATCTCAATGCAACAATAATATTGGATAAAAAATTCGACGAGTAATGGTTTTGCTTGAAAAGCGTATGAGCATTATTTGAATTAATGTATATAATACAAATGTGGTTACTTATATTTATGCTCGGAAGAAAGTATAATGCTGCATTATAGAAGGTAGGCTAAAGAACCTAAATGCATGTTTCGGTATTATTGATTACTTATTCCATAAGAGTGATGGTAAATCCTATTCCTGTTTGTCAAGGCTTATTGAGATAGCCTCTTGATTAAGTTTCTTAGGAAACGAGGCCAGTATGCAACTAAACTTTTAGTAGAACAATGCCCCCTATTTACCTGGAAATGAGGTTATATGAGCATAAACTCTTTCGGAAACTTCTTAAAGGTTACCTGAAAAAAGGCCTCTGTTCCTATTCCTCTAGAAACGATAATTAATGAGGGGTTTGAGTATACTAACACCCCCTATTTTTCGAAAAATTTTTCTTATGATGCTCGCCCCCATAGATTTCGTATGAAATATCATCATGAATTTTCAGAAAAAGTTAATGAGATATGAGAAAGTTATTCTCTGTATCAGTAGATGCCATGGCATGATTATCATCGTAGGAATTCGAAATGTATAGATATGGAAATGATTTGGAAAATATTACATTACTTTTTAGTGATATTTTAAAAAACATATAAAATAAGATTACTTAGATCTACCTGGAGCAATAAATTGAAGTGGGGCCGCCCAGCTTGCTTCTGAAAGTGGCCATTGTAATTTCTGTTGCGTAAAGAAGATTGCGCTTGCTGGTTGAGCAACTCTAAATGCGCGAGCAAAATGTGGTACATCATCTGAAACAATTACAAAAGCTGAATTTGGTTGATTACTTAATAAGCAGCAAAGTTCGACGTAACAAAATTGAAGTGCATCCTCACCAACAAACATTTTCGATAAGCACATTCTCATGATTGTGCAAAGTGGCTGTGGAAGATCTGTATTTGGTGGCTGTAAAACAAGAAGAGATGTAGGACGATTTCCTCCCGTTTTTTCTAAGATCTGTTTCCATATTTCTAATGGCTTCTTGCTTTTGACTCTGCAATCCCAAACAACGTGCACAGGCTGACTCATATATTTCCTAAAAAAATAATTTTTAAACGTATGCAATAACTGAAATTGCATGTAATGATTTGTGTAGTATCTGTTCGGTTAGCTAGTAGTTTTTCTATATAATATTCAGCCAGAAATGTTAATGTCAAATCAAAATTAACAATGAATATGTTAATGATTGAATACGTTTAAGAGATGGTTTATTCTTAGTGGTTCAATAAGCAGGAGCTCGATTTTGAAAGATATAAAACAAAAATGGAAACAAATTGAGTGAAGCTAGTAGAAATAGGTTACCAATCGAAATGTGTATATGAAATAGATGCTGTGATGAGTATTTGAAAAATTTTGAAAATTTTTGAAATTACCAGATGCTTGAAAGCACTCATGACGGAATCAAGTGAAGCAATAAAATCAGGAGCTGAAGGTAATTTTGTAGTGAACATTGTTGGAGAAGAATAAGAACGAATAATCAGCCTATTCTATGAGAATTTTGAAGTTGATGGTGTGATTTGTCAATTGACTGATTTAACCATGGAGAAACGGTTTTGTGTAGAGACAAATCGGATGTAAAGTGGTCTTTTTTATCGAAATTTGTATTTTTATTTGTAGGCCCAACATTTGCTATGATATATATAGTTTTCAATTGACTTAAATTTGTAACTGCTTCCAAAAATAAAGGTTTAATTAGTTTTGAAGGAACAAATATCACAATATCTTTTAAAGCATATTTGTTTTAAAGAAATTTCTTTGAGTCTAATAAAAAATTATTTTTTACTCATTATGTTTAATTATCATCTGTTTCTCCAATTTGGATTTTTTGTTTGATGTAATTCATGAAAGCTGCGTTTTGATGTAAATTGGAACCAGCTCTTTCGATCTCATCCATCTTTTCTCCCAAATTCTCTGGCTCAAAATAGTTGAAAATTAAATTCATTTGCTTAGCAATTTCAAAGTTTTGCTGTGATTTGTTATGAAAAGTTGGGTTCAATGGATCATAAGAACGTGCGAACTCTTGGAATTCTCTTAACTGTTCAGGATCTTGTAAAATGTTTGAAGCGAAGTTAATAACTTCGATATATTGTTGTCATTTCCAATCAATGTTCTCTTCATTTTCCAAGATTGGTTTTAAGAGTTCTTAATATTTCGGACATTTTGGTTCTAAATATGGAATGCGTGTTGGAGTCTGAAGCCATTCACTAGCTGCAACTGAGATAAATGTTCTGGTCCAGCCGGTAATATCGTAAATGGTTCTATAAAGAACAACACCTTCACTGTATGAAAAACTTGGTCGATATGCAGCTGTTCCTCGAAGTTCAGTGCGTTCACTCTGCATAACTGAAGCTGGTGACGACATTCTAGACTGTCCAAAGTCGATAATGAAGGCTACACCATCAGCAGTGACCATAATATTCTTTGGATTGATGTCGCGATGGCAAATAATATGAGTTTCGTTAGTGTTGAGCTCTACAATTGTTTTGTATGATTAAATCAATGCTTTCATGAGGAAGAGATCGTAATTTGGAATGGAATGCAAATGCGTTTTATTGATTAAGTCATATAAAGTACATCCTGGTATATATTCATAGAGGATCCAAGCCAAGCCATTTGATTGAGGGTTGAAAGATCTAATTACCTTGCACGTTGAGCAAATATTTAAACTTCGTGAAATATTGGCTTCAAGTTGAAATTCCTGTGCTCCTCTTTCATTTATTGGTTCATTCTGAACTTTAAGGCAGTAATTTGTTCCATTAAATTGGATTGCAAATACTGTTCCGAATCCGCCTTGTTTAACACCAAACAAATTGCACTGGCGCCATTGTTCATTGCCGAATGCCTCTTCTAAAACTTTTATAAAGTTAGAGCGACGTAATATATTCGAAGCCATAAAAAAAAATGATAAAAAAAATTGACTACTTCACATAACTCATCTAGTCAAAAATTTTTGAAGTGAAATCACGAAGATATCAAATTTTCATTGTTTAATAATGGGGAGAAGCTTCCTAAACTTTTTAATCCCATAAATATGGTCATTATCTGGAATAAAGAGTTAAGCGTCATATGTCACTTTTTGTACTAAGGAAACATCGACTTTATGCGTTATGACTTTTCGATGAGGAAACAAGTGTTCACGTATTATAAACTTCCTTATTCCAATAAACCGACCCTAAACATAATTAATTCTAAGCATGATAATGGTCTCTTTTCTATGATAACCAAATCAATTTGGTTATCATAGTAAAGCACCAAAAACTGGAATAGGAATCGGCAATATGGAATCATGAAGCAACTCGGATAAAATAAATATGGAACATTCATACATCCATTCCCTATTTTTAACCATATTATATTTTCAAACAAAATTCTCGTACTATTTTCAATAAAATTTGCATAACCTTGTTATTACTCTTAGGCGAAAGATGATTTTAATGTTAATTTTATAGAAGAACTTTTAATGCATAATAAAATAACCATTTCCTATAAATTTAGACTTTAAACGGTGACAATAAACAAGCTTTAGTCTAGAAATTAATTTTCTACTACTATAAATGCATCTTTATCTTTAATTAGAAAAAAATTTATCAATTTTATTATCCAGATGAAAAAAGAAGTGACATATGATATTTTATCTAATTTAAAATCTTTTATTGATTGTTTTTAAAAACTTTGCATTTTGTATGAGTATTTCATGTTTAAATCAGTATAAATACGCAAAATACTTATGAAATTCCAGCTGTTATTCAGTACTATTCATTTTTCAGCAATCATTAACTGTGGAAGAGTATGGCAAACGTTCGATAATGATCATGTATACTCAGATCATCAAGAATGAATTAAAGTCAATGCAGGGAAATGGATAATCCGATTAAAAACCCAAAAAAGGAAAAAGATATTATATGAACGTCTCACAAATGGTTAGTACTAAGCTCTTTCCTGATGATTGAATATTCTTTCATATTTTTGTATATTGTAAGGAATTTTCTCCCCAAATATATAATACCTTCCTTATAAACGATCTACTTTCTTTGAATACAAGTATAATTTTACATTTTAGGAAAAAAATTTATTTTTTCAAATTTATCTTATAACAATAGAGATTTATATATGTGTGTGTCAATATAGGCTTTAGTGGTATAAAATTGGGTAGATTTTGTTTTATTTTGAGTAAAAAATTCAAAAAATACTACCTCATTTTGCGTGCAAAGGAATAGTCAGAGCTATTTAATAACATTTTACGAATGAACTATGGAATTACTATAACTTTTGAAGAAATTTCAAAGTTAATAGAAGATTGTATTTTAGAAATCAGCTAAAAGAATGATGTGCATGCATCAAGCGTTAAAGTATCCTAATCAGAATATAGTAATATACAATGATTAGCAAAGCAGATTTGAATCGGCAAGAAGAGTTGCTTAAAAAATCAGTTGAGTCTTCTCTAGTTTCCACACTGCCTATTCCTGTTTAAGTGCGGTTATTCCTATTCCAGTTTTTGGTGCTTTACTATGATAACCAAATTGATTTGGTTATCATAGAAAAGAGACCATTATCATGCTTAGAATTAATTATGTTTAGGGTCGGTTTATTGGAATAAGGAAGTTTATAATACGTGAACACTTGTTTCCTCATCGAAAAGTCATAACGCATAAAGTCGATGTTTCCTTAGTACAAAAAGTGACATATGACGCTTAACTCTTTATTCCAGATAATGACCATATTTATGGGATTAAAAAGTTTAGGAAGCTTCTCCCCAATAAGATGAGTTCATTAGAAGATCATTACAAATAGTAATAGATGTAAATGGAGCAAATTGTGTTCCAATATTTTATTTTTATTAACGCTTCAAGTAAATAAATGATAATGTAACAAATGATCTAGACAAGATATGCCTCAGTTTATTTTGAATGATAGCATCTATCTAGGTTAGTATTTTAATCGTGTTTAATTTGCTGAATATTCTTTCTAATTATTCAGCCCTGAACAAAACACTGGTTCGTTCTTTTTCAACATTTATCTTTTTTCTGACAATTAGCTCCATATATAACTTGAAGTTCTATAATATCATAAATTAAAACTTAAGACTGGCGAAAAATAGTTTTAAAAATAATATTTTTATTGTATGTACAATAGATTCCAATCATAATTTTAGGCTTCAAATTCTTCACTAGCATTACTTACAACGATAGGACGGTTTTGGTCGACCTTTTCGAGATGTCAGCTGAAAAAGATACAGCCGCTCCAGCTGCTGCTCCAGCAGAACAGGCAGCCGCAACATCTAAGAAGGATGTCCAACTTGGCCCAGTTAAGCGCGATGGTGAAATCGTTATGGGTGTTGCTCATATTTATGCATCAAAGAACGATACATTCGTCCATGTTACAGATCTTTCCGGCTCAGAAACACTTGCTCGCTGCACAGGTGGTATCGCTGTTCGTGCTCAGCGTGATGAAGCTACACCATACGCTGCTATGCTTGCTGCTCAGGCCGTCGCTGCCCGTCTGAAAGAACTCGGCGTTGATGGCGTTCACATCAAGTTCCGTGGTGAAGGTGGTTCATCCCGCCGCCTTCCAGCCCAGGGTGCTCAATCTGCCCTTCGTGCTCTTGCTCGTGCTGGCGTCAAGATCGGCCGTATCGAAGATGTTACTCCACTTCCACACGATTCTACACGCAGAAAAGGTGGTCGCCGTGGTCGCCGTCTTTAAAGAATTACCTCTAAACATTTCTTGAAGATAAAGTCATTCAATTCTTATTTTAATCTACAAATCAAAAAATTTCTACAAATGATTTACATAATATATATCCAAATTACAGATCAAAAAAATATGAAATTTTTGATTTCAAAAAAAATTAATGAAAATATATCCATTATAAATATATTCATATAAATAAGATGGAATTTAAAATATTTTCTTGAAATAATTAATATTCAAGAATCTTTTTTTAGAAATTCATGACAAAATTGAGATTTAAAGGTATATATTATACATTTATTCTATTTAAGGTGTAAAGGGCTTATGAGAGAAGTATTCTTTCATTTTATTGAATTTTGAAAGTGGAATTGAAGAGATTGAATCAACTTCTGGTGTATTGTTGAGGTTGAAAACGTCGTGGTTTGCAGAAACGCAGATTCCGGCGCAACCAAACAAAGTATGGAATGAATCTGATTTGTTTGATGGTCTATCTCTTAAACCACCGAACTGGTACTGTGAAACCTTAACTAAGAACTCCGACATGGCCCTGTCATTCCAAAACGGCCCGATCTTCAAATAATTTGAAAGAGTTCTGGCAGGAGATCCAATCCACCATGAGTAGCATGTATCGGCTAGTTTATTTGTGCGGCCAGCAAAGCCACCAGAAAATGGAACTTGACAATCTGCGATATATCTGACGACTTTGTTAATATTTATAGCATCAAGTCTATTAAGAATGTGTAATATTCCAATTGCGCAGTATGTATAACCACCGTGTGCTTCGCAATTTGGTACTGGTCCAAATCCACCTTCATATGTCTGGCATTTTACAACGAAATCAACTAATCCAGCGGACAATTCTGGTGTAATGATATTGTACATCCAGGAAATGAATAAAGCTGAAAAAGTAGAGCGAAGATCAGTTTCTCCATTTGGAATAGCAGAAAATGATCCATCAGGGTTTTTGCATGACATTACATACTCGTAAAATGCTTTCTGATCGACCATTTCGTAGAGTTCTTCTGATTCGAAAAGGCCAAGGAAAATTGCCATTCCGTACATTGGAACCATTCCAGGATAATCATGTAAGTATCCTGACCATCCACAATGGTCGTTTAAGTGATTCTTTAAATATTGAATTGTATTCTTACGAAATTCTTCCATATCAAATTCATTTTCTAAACCGCATGTAATAATAGGAAGTAACGTATAGAAGGGATTCCATGGTTCAAAAATTTGATCTTTCATGTACTCTATTGGTCTATTAATCTTCCCTTTTAAGTACATTGCTAAATTAAGTTTTCGGATTTCTTTTACATCAAGTATTTCTTCCTTAATCCTTCTCTCTGTATCAATGTTATCACATGATGTTCTTGTTACGACATTTTCATCATTGAACTCTTCTCTAAAAATAACAAAATCTTCAGACATTTTTTTGCCACTTTTTTTTTGTTTTGTTTTTGTTTTTGTTTTGTTTTGTTTTGTGAATCTTTGATTATTCTTTCAAGCTTTCAACAATCTACCATAACTTATACCATATCTATCGTCAAGATATTCCCAATCATATTTTGATTTATCAAAATCTCAACAATTATATCTTCAATTTCTGTACGTGCTATGAACAAGCTTATTCTATACACCAACCCTTTCTTTTCTCCTAATAAGGAAATTAATTGGAGACTATAAATCATTGCTTAGAATCTGCATTTCGTAGACTCCAATTTTGATTCGAAAAATTATAACATCGAAGATTTCGAAAGATAAGATTTATAAAGTGTAAACATATACATCTCACCCCTTAACTCTTTCTTTAAAATCGCCAAACTTTTAAAAGATAGTCACTTTTATTTGACGATAAAACTTAAAATCAAAGAATGACATCAACTATTGAACTTATGAAGCAATTTTATGGTATTCAGGATGACGACAGCACTGAGCCGCCACCTGATCCAACAGACATTGATGGAAATGCTTTTGAAGCAGAACCATATTATAAAAACTTAATTAACAATCAAAGCTTACCGGCATTGATTACAAAAGACCTTACTATTAAAAAGGAAATCCATGATCTCGATGGTAGTCTTCAATTTTTAGTTTATGACAATTATACAAAATTCTTGCTTGCAGAAGAAACAATTCGTTCGATGAGTGATGGTCTCAGTAATCTATCTTCAAAAATGCAGAACGTTCTTGACTGTCTTCAAAAAGTTCAAAAACAATCCGCGGAAATTCGAACAGATCTTCAGCCAAATCGTGAAAAAATCCAGCGTCTTGTTGGTATCAACAGGCTCTTAGAAAGAATCGAATTTATTTCCGAACTTCCACTTAAATTACGTGCTCATGTTGATATCAAAGAATACGAAGCCGCTGTTGACATCTGGCTCAAAGCCGAAAAGGTCCTTGAGACGCAGACCCATTTCGAGTCTTTCATTCGCATCAGAGAAGAATGTAAAGGAATTCTTGAAGACGTGAAAGTTAAAGTTCGCGGAGTCATGATGAGCGAAGATACAACGGCTAAACAAGCTGTTGCATGTGCTGCTACAATGATAAAGCTTCAAATGCCCGTAGATTCGACTCTTGAAGACTTAGTTCGATTTAGACTACTTCTCCTCGTTAAAAAGATCGAAAAGCCTGAGGCATTACCTACTGATCTGTTTGAGTTGTTAGATTTCTTCGAAAAGGAAGTCGGAGAAAGCGCAAATGAATTAATTGAAAATTATGCGATATCTCTTCAGAAATTTGTCCCAATCAAGGGCAACAGACAATTCGACAAGTTCATGACAGCATTCAGAAAAGAATTATTCGCTAAAATCAACAAAGCAATCAACGATAACGCATTAAATACTTTATCTTGCGAAGATTTCTCTAACTTCATTACCAACCTTGTCAACTGTATCGGAAAAATTGCAATACCTCATCAGCTCGAAGCATATCTTTCAAATCTCCTTCAGAAATACGTCAAAAACAGATTCGGAAATATTATTACAGCCACTCTTACTCAAATCAAGAAAACTGAGACTTCCTCAGACCTTGATCAAGTTTTCAAAGATATTATCTCCACATTCAAGCGAAATCTCACATCATTACTCAATGAATTCGAAATCCTGGCAAACACAAACAGCGAAGCCAAAGACCATATCATTCAAGAGACTGCCAAGATGTTCCAAGGCTTCTTCGACGAATTCGACAAGATAGATCCTCGATTTTCCCTACTTACATTTGGAATTGCCCATCAATTCGGGGAAAAGACCATCCACCTTGCTTTCGACCTTGCTGCCCGCTTCGACCATGAATCTCCTCTCCTTAACATGCAGCAGATGCTTTGTACGGAGGGCCATGAATGCGCACAACGATCATTGAGTAGATTTGTCTCGATGAAACGAAAGATGCTTTCAGAGATGATTGCTCAAGGCATGGCCGCACAAGACTGGTTAGAAGTTAAGACTCCTCATGATGTTTCGATCACCTCCAATTTAGTCATTCAGGAGATATCATTGATTTGGCAACAACTCGACAAAATCATCCAAAAAGTGAAGGAAGGAAGTGTCGCTTCCACACATTCCAGCAACTTTTCCAGGACTACTTTGTCCACTTTCTCTACACAGAGCGGTCCTGCAAACCAGATGCCTTTGTTCCACGGACTGAGGGATGACGGAATGATACAGATCGACAGGTTGTTCACTACTCTCAATCACTTGCATTTGAGACAGGAACCGAATTTCGAATCTAAGTCTGTGTTGACTGCAATCACTTTCTACACGTTGAAGACAATGTTGGAGTACATAAGAAAGAGCACTTTCAACTGCGCTGGATTCAACCAGATGCAGGTGGACGCGTACTTCATGTACATGACTCTTCACGACAAACTGGAAAACCCTGCAATGTTTAGCGCTCTGATTGAGGAAATGTTGTCTTCTGCTGCTGACAGAACAATCAGTCCGATTCCGTTCAAAAACGCCGTTCTCAACGACATTTACGCGAGATCTGACTCAAAACCTCACCAGAAAGATGGAATATAAACTATTTATATATATAATCTATTTAAAATATGAATATCTATTTTTATTTTCTTCCATTAATTCTGTTCTTACTTCTGCTATGATAAAAAGTTAATATTTGTGATCTGGAAAAAGTTATTACAAATCACTACTTAGTGCATAATATGGCTGTTATACTTTTTTGTTATTAAAATAAAGATATGTTGATATTATGAGAGCATGTCAGAATGTGGTAAGTACTTCAAAATTTTTTCTACTGTTGCCTAAAGAACAGTTCTCGCATAAAGAGTGTCATGCTTGATGTTTAGTTTCCTATCATGTGATCAATGTAATTTGATTCTTTGTTCATATATTATCTTAATTGAGTATTAGGAATCATCTTTTTCAACTCATGTAATTAAAAAATTATCTGATGTTTTATGAAATATTCAAACATATTTATGGCGAAAATCATCGCTAATGAGAAAAGATACTCCAAGATTGGTCTATCGGGACCATTTATATGCATTTATTTGGCTGAAAATAGTCCCAATATGGGATTTTAACATTTATATTTGCTTACGACTAAAAATTCGCTGTGAATGGAACATCTTCAGAATAGGATATTGCATCCTTAATGATTTTCTCATATATTATCAAAACAAAAATAATTTTCATTTCAAATTTCAACATGTTTATGATATATCAAGTTTTGTAAGATCAAAACATCATGAATATATATATAGTTTGATTAATAAAATAAGGTATTTGAATTAATATATTAAATACAAATTTTTAATGAACAATCTATACTCAATAATCAAGAGGGAACAATCTCCCGTAGAATTCTATAGCTCCAAGTGACAATTCGTGTGCATTTGGTCCATCAGGCCTTGCGTGGTTCGCTTTCAGGGTAAATTTGAAAATTTGGTAAGGTCTGGAAGGTCTGGCCAACTTAAACGTCATGATGGCACCTTTTTGGTTCATTTCCTCACAATTGTTAACTGTTTCGACCACTTCCCACTTAACTCCGTCGTCACTTGCTTCTATGATCCAAGATTTGGGCTGGTGCTGTCTTGGCTTTATTGCTGTTGATGCGAGTGTGTAATGTTGCAATTCCAAGGCGTAACCAACGAATTCAAACTTGATCCAAGCATTTTCTTTGAGACATTTGCCTTTATTTGAGTCGTAGTTATCCCACCATGTATCTAGATGGTCGTAATCAACAACGCGATTGATTTGGTAGTTCTTTGTACCTCCTCCTTCGATAATAACTTCATCTTGCCAAGAATCTGGATATTCGCGCTTAATGTATGAGATAACACCATCAAGAAGATATTCCTTATCGTATTCGAGCGCAATGTAGTCTTCTTCCTCTTCATTATCGTCATAAAATTCTTGAGTCGTCGAAGTAGGCTGTTGAGGCTGAACAGGGGCAGAGTATGTCTGCTGAGCATAGTTGTCCTTCTGTTGTTGGTACTGCTGCTTCTGGTTCTGCTCAATTTCGGAAAATGTGTGAGCAATCGGTTGAACTGGCTCACTACGGGAAATAAATTGAGGTATTTGAGTGTTAAAAGGCAATTCTGGGTTCTGTTGGATAACTGGCTGGAACTGTGGCATTTTTGGAGGTGAATCTTCTTCTTCTCTATCTTCCTCTTCTTCTGTCTGAATTACGTCTTGTACAAGACGATTCTTGAGGCTATTCCAGATGAATGGCTCGATAGAATCGTAAGAAACAATGTCTACAAACTCTCTCATGCATTTCTTCGAAAGTTTTTCAAAGAAGCAATATCCGAAGAGTACATTGTAGGAAGAACCTGATGTAGATACAACTGACATGATCCAATGGAAGAAATCTTCTTCATTTGGAAATGAAAATTTATTTGATTGAATAATTGATTGTAATACTTCCACTGGAAGCATCTTGAGTTCACGCTTATCTTTAAGCTGCATGAAATTTTCTGCTATGAAATCGACTTCATCATGATAATCTAAATCATGCTCTGCAAGTTGCTTTACGACCTCTAAAACAGTAGAAGGAGTGATCAGTGCTGTACAAAAAGGCACTGTGGCGTCAATTAATGCTTTTATACCAAGTGCTTGGCCACATGCATTAATAAAATAAGAATTAAATTTGTTAATTTCCACTGCTTTGCCGTTTAATATATCGATAATGATCTGAAAGTCATGATTTGGATCTTTGATCTTTTCGATTGTAAAAGAATTTAAATCTTTAGTGATTTTTGAAGAAATCTCGATTAATTGATTTAAATGACACATATATTTTGCATCATCTATGTATATTGTGAAGTCGTATGGAACTGGTTGTGCTGATATCGATTGTAAAGTTGGAGTTGGATGATGAATTGAGGTTGGAAGCATTTCTGTCACTTTTAGCAATTAATGTGCTAACATGATAAGAGCAAATAATGGTATTGATAGAAGTAAAATTTTGTTAAAGCGCTTTTTTCCAAAGAATTATAAATATTCATGGAAAATTCAAATTGAAATTTTCAAAAAAATAGAGTTATAGCAAATATTTTGGGAAAAAATATAATTACTAGTTATTTTAAAAGAGATTGCATTATTTAATTTTTCCAAATTTTTTAGAATTTTGAGAAAATAATGGAAAATTCTTACAAAATGAAAACATTTTTTGTTTTTCGAATTTTTTTTGGAATTGTTTCTTATTTTTTTCATGTGATAGTTATCTTTACCAAGTCGTGTAAAATACGTATATAGAAAATTTATGAAAAATGATCGAATATCATTAGATATTATGCAAAATTCGAGTTACATTATACTATAAAATTTATTTATTTTATGATGTTTATATTAAATCTGCGTTTACACAAAACCCAAGGAAACTCCCTTAGAAAAATACGTTACAATAAAAATGCAAGGTCTTTCTGAAGCGTATCAGGAGAACTGCAAGGCTGCATCAATCCCACCAAATGAGGAGTTCTTAAATGAACTTCAAGAATTAGAAAACAACAGCCAGGCAACTCTCGATTTTCGCTTAGATGGCGGAATCACTTACCAAAAACTCGAAGACAGAGACTTTTCTGTCATCATTGATACACTTAAGAAAGGTGGTTGCATCCATAGTATTAAAGTTCCACACAATAACTTAACAGATCTTATCCTTCCTGGAATCGCTCAATTAATCAGCCATTCCGACTCAATTACAGAAATAGATCTTTCGTCAAATCAATTTACAGCTGATGGCATCAAGCTTCTTAGTGAATCTATTAGCCAAAGCCAAAGTTTGACACATTTATCTTTTGCTTATAATGATATTGGTGATGAAGGCTGTTTACTCATCATCAATGCCCTCAGAGTTAATAGAACAATCACAAACATTAACCTTTCTAACACAGGAATGACTCATAACGCTTTAACAATTCTTGGCTCAATTATCGGCCAAATCAACCGTCTTAAAGTTATTTACATCGATACTCCATATCCAAAGATCAGCCCTGATGTCGCTGCTCGCAGATTTTTACTTTCTCTTCGTGTAAATGATTCGATCCAAGAACTCTCATTAGCTGGCGCCAGAATCGGTGATGATTCTGCTGTCCATCTTGCAGATGCTCTCGCAGAAAATAAGACACTTACGAAACTTCGTATTCGATCAAATTCGATTTCTTGCGTTGGCGCAGAGAAAATTGCCAAAGCTCTGAAAGAAAATAAGACTCTCGAAGTACTCGATATCTCCGGTAACAGACTTGGAGACAAAGGTGCTGAAGCTTTCGCTGAAATGCTTGTTAAGAACTCACATTTACAGAGACTCGATTTACAACTTAATGGCATTCATGGTGTTGGCCTTCTCGCTATTTGCAAGGCTCTGCCAGCGAATACTTCAATTAGTGACCTTTGTCTTTGGGGTAACCACTTCGTAGATAGAAGTGTTATGGAGGAATATGCTAAATTGCTCGAAGGACCTCGCGCTCAGACATTACTTCTCGATTTTACAGTTCATTTCTCTAATGATGATGAGAAGAATCCTTACCTTGCACGCACAGCTATCGAGGATTCACCTGTTGTATGGGAATAAATCTTTTTTGAAATTATTATGTTTAACTACTTTATAAATTTCTTATTTTTTAAAATTTAGTAATATCACATCAAATTCAATTAGCGTAGCAAGAAATAAGGTGAAATAATGAGTTTTCAACTATCTCAAATTACAATTAAATTCAATATTTTTCTAATTTGCTCATTTCTAACAAAAAGTATCTCATAACAAAATATTTTCCCAGGAAAAATGCACTATTATGCATCAACTATTATCAATTATTGAATTCCTATCAAATTGATTGAAGTCTCTCACCTCTCTTGTTGTTTGAAGTAACTGGATAGTTTCTTCTTAATGTGAAGACAATATTTATAAAAAAAAGATAGTTAATTAATTAAGGTCGAGAGAAATCGTTAATTTTTACGAAAAATGCTTACTCTTCAGCGAGCATATCGTGTTCCTTGAGGTAATCGTAGATCTGGAGAAGACGTGTGTACTTCTGGATACGTTCTCCGCGAGCTGTTGAACCTGTCTTGATGGACTGAGCACCGATAGCAACGGCGAGATCAGCGATGACGGAGTTGCATGTTTCACCAGAACGGTGGGAAACCATGACACGGTGGCCAGCGTTGAGGATAAGGCGGGCAGCTTCCATACCTTCAGAGATTGTACCGATCTGGTTAACCTTAAGAAGGAGAGCGTTGCACCACTTGCCCTCGAGACCCTTCTTGATTGTGATTGGGTTTGTTGTGTAAAGGTCATCACCGACAAGCTGGACGCGTTGGCCAAGGCGGGCGTTGAGCTTTGTCCAGTTCTCGTAATCGAGTTCAGCGAGAGCATCTTCGATGGAAACGATAGCTGGGTGGCGCTTGAGGAGATCATCGAAGTAGTCGATCATCTGGTCAGCGTTGAGGAACTTGCCAACTTCGACTTCGTAGAGCTTCTTCTCTTCATCGTAGAATTCAGAGGAAGCGACATCCATACCGATCATGATGTCCTTGCCAGCTTCGTAGCCAGCGGCCTTGATAGCCTCTTCGATAACGGAGAGAGCCTCTTCTGGGTCGTTGAGGTTTGGAGCGAAGCCACCCTCATCACCGAGGTTCTTAGCGGAGAGACCGTACTTCTTAACAAGGAGGCCACCGAGCTTCTGGTAGACTTCAGCGACCATACGGAGCTGATCTGGGAATGGAACCTTGCGTGTTGGTGTAACCATGAATTCCTGGAACTTGAGGTTGCCACCAGCGTGCTTGCCACCGTTAAGGATGTTGAAGAATGGAGATGGGAGCTTGAACTTCTTTGGAACCTTGTCAGCACCACCATAGAAAGCCTTGGCGAGGTACTCGAAGAGCTGGATTTCCTGGATAGCAGCACCAGCTTCGGCGAGAGCGAAGGATGTAGCTGTGCAAGCGTTGCCACCGATGTTCTTCTTGAGAACTGTGCCATCTGTATCGCAGATCTTCTTATCGAGGGCTGGGAGGTCGCAGAAGCACATTCCCTTGAGAGCTGGAGAAAGCTTCTCTGTAACGTTGGCGGCGGCCTTGAGTGTGCCCTTGCCACCATAGCGAGCCTTGTCACCATCACGGAGTTCAAGAGCTTCACCAACACCTGTTGAAGCACCAGATGGGGCGGATGAGCGGGCGGCGAGTGTGATGCGGCCAAGGTACTTTACGTAGACATCAACTTCGACTGTTGGGTTGCCACGGGAATCAAGGACTTCGCGGCCAACAACCTTCTCGATGAGGGCCTTTGGAGCCTTCTTCTTGAGGAGGACGGAGAGTGTGCCGATTGGATCTTCAGACTTGGCTGCTTCGGCGATAGCTGCTTTGATGATTGCGTCGTTCTCGGCGTTCATTGCAACAAATAAAGTGATGAGACCACTCTTCAAACCAACTTTCAATACTTGCTGAACACTCATCCCTCAAAAAACCGCTATCTCAAAAATTTGAGGAAACCCACACAATTCTTTTTGGAAAATTTTTTGACGGGTAGAAAATATCTTTTAAATATGATATTGAGTAAAATTCCATAATTTCCTGAATCAACGATCACTTTATTTACACCATTCAAAAATTGTGGAGAAAAACGATTAACAAAAAACATTCGATATTTATAATTCTCAATTTCAATATCAGCGAACATTATCAAAATCTTACTTAGTCCACAGGAAATTATTTCTATGAACTATTTTTCGTCTATGGGACCGAAGATAAAAAATAATCGAATATTCATTCAGATTTACTTTAAAATAATGACAAAGTATCACAAAGTCATTGTGCGATAATTCTATTCTGCTATTTCTCCCTTTTTTCACAAGATTTTAATTTTTTTTTCTAAAATTTGTCCTTTAAATGTTAGATTTCATAACAAATTTACTTCGCAAACACACATATATTACTATTTTGGACTACTTTATTCATAAAAACACTTTTAATTCATCTTTTTGAAAAATTTCTGCCAATTTATAGTATAAGTCCTTAAAATAAGCAATACGTATTAATGAATGACTTTTAGTTTATCCAAATTTGTTATACAAATGATGATATTGAGGTGATATATGTTTTTGCAATATTTTGTTTCTGTTTAATATTTGTCCCTATCACCACATAAAAACTATCTGAAAGTTATTATACCATTTCCCATTTATGGCCACTAAAATTGCTTTTTTGTAAACCTATATATATTTTAGTGGCCACTCTAAACTGAACTATTATAATATACTATTGTTGATTGAGAAAATCCTAGTTATATCCAATTTGTAACGAAAATACCTTTTCTGGAGACTTTTATTCATATTACTGTTTGCAAGTTTCATCAGACACCATGTATATAAGCAATTCATTGGCATGAATAATATCTTTCGTTCGGTGTTGACATTGACTGCAATATCATTCGGTATTTGTTCTATTGCTAAATTTTTGATTCTTTCTAAAATGAAGTGACATCGCAATCATGTATGAATTGTGTTCAAGTTAAATACTTGATTCCTATATTCAAAATATTATCCGAATATGTAGATGCTACCAATTGGAACTCGGTCATCTCAGAAACTTTTATTTTATTTCAACAAAAGTTATTGTTTATTTAATGTTCATTGTAGCCTTCATTGTTAAATTGTTATATATCGGATTTATCTTTTTCATTGATAATTGAACCATGCAAAATAAGGTGTTCGATAGTTTCTTTAATATTATGTTTTGCTGCAATATGAAGAGTAGTTCGTCCATCATTATCTTTTTCATTGATATTTGCCCCATGTGAAATAAGAAGTTCAATTGCTTATTCTTTATTTTTCTATGTTGCGTGATGAAGAGCTGTTCTTCCAAGTTCACCCTTTTCATTGATATTTGCAACAAATGAAAGGAAATAATCACAAAGGGACAGGATCCCAAATATTACTAAAATGATTCACTGCTGTAGAAAAAAAGTAAGTTGTTCTTTATAGAACCATTTACGATATTGCTAGCTGGGCCAAAACATTTATCTCAGTTGCAAATAGCGAATGGATTCAAACTCCGACACGCATTCCATATTTAGAACCAAAAAGTCCGAAATATTAAGAACTCTTAAAACCAATCTTGGAAAATGAAGAGAACGTTGATTGGAAATGACAACAATATATCGAAGTTATTATTAACTTCGCTTCAAACATTTTACAAGATCCTGAACAGTTAAGAGAATTCCAAGAGTTCGCACGTTCTTACCATCCATTGAATCCAAATTTTCATAACAAATCCCAACAAAACTTTGAAATTGCTAAGCAAAAGAATTGAGTTTTCAACTATTTTGAGCCAGAGAATTCTGGAGCAAAGATGGATGAGATCGAAAATGCAGGTACCAATTTACATCAAAACGCATCTTTCAGGAATTACATCAACCAAAAAATCCAAATTGGAGAAACAGATGATAATTAAATGCAATGAATAAAAATATAATTATTTATTAGATTCAACGAAATTGATATTTGTTCCTTCAAAACTAATTAAACCTTTATTTTTGGAAACAATTACAAATTCAAGTCAATTGGAATCTATCTATATCATAGTAAATGCTCAGCCTACAAATAAAAATACAAATTTCGATAACAGACCAGGGCATATCTGATTTGTCCCTACACAACACCATTTCTCTATGATTAAATCATTTAAATGACAAATCACATCATCATCTTCAAAGTTCTTTTAGAATAGGTTGATTATTCATCCTTAAGAACTTGAAACAATCAACTGCTCCTTGGTAACAACACAATTCAAGTAATGAATATCCTTTATTAGAATATGGATATAATTCACTTTGAAGATTTTGATTTTCATCAAAACATTCATTTTCGGTGAATGTGATGAATCTTTCTTTGTCATTATCCAAAATTGCTCTATAAATTGTATTTGTTGCATGAATTTCGAAATCATCAGACATGTCTAATTTACCAAATCATAGTGTTATATATTGGACCAGCAAAAAATCCAAATTTTGCTTCTCTATTGTCAAAAAAAAAGAGTGATGGTGCGTTAGAAAATGGCAATTACACACTTAATTTTCATTGTATGTTTCATTGTTACATCGTTATATATCGGATTCATCTTTTTGATTGATATTTGCACCATGTGAAATAAGGAGTTCAGCCGTTTCTTTACTGTTACATTCTGCTGCAATATGAAGAGCGGTTTGTCCATATTGATCTTTTTCATTGATATTTGCACCATGTGAAATAAGGAGTTCAGCCGTTTCTTTACTGTTACATTCTGCTGCAATATGAAGAGCGGTTTTTCCATATTTATCTTTTTCATTGATATTTGCACCATGTGAAATAAGGAGTTCAGCCGTTTCTCTACTATCATATTCTGCTGCAACATGAAGAACGGTTTTTCCATATTTATCTTTTTCATTGATATTCACACCATGTGAAATAAGAACTTCTGCAGCTTCTTTACTATTGTTCAATGCTGCAACATTAAGAGCGGTTTTTCCATATTTATCTTTTTCATTGATATTTGCACCATGTGAAATAAGAAATTCAGCCGTTTCTTTACTGTTACATTCTGCTGCAATATGAAGAGCGGTTTGTCCATTCTCATTTTTATCATTAATTTTTGCACCATGCGAAATAAGAACTTCTGCAGTTTCTTTACTATTATTCATTGCTGCAACATGAAGAGCAGATTCTCCATCTTCATCTTTTTCATTGATATTTATACCATGCGAAATAAGAAGTTCTGCAGTTTCTTTACTCTTATATTCTGCTGCGCGATGAAGAGCTGTGTGTCCTAATTTATTTTTGTCATTGATATTTATACCATGTGAAATAAGAAGTTCAGTTATTTCTTTTCCAAAATTATCTGCTGTATAATGAAGAGCATTTCGCCCAAATTGATCTTTTTCATTGATATTTGCACCAAGTGAAAGGAAATATTCACAAAGTGTTGGGATCCCAAACATTGTTGAATAATTAAAACATTTATTTATATCATTAGTTTGATCGAAATAAACTAAAAATGATTCAAGATTATTGTAAAGTCCACATTGAAATAAATTAACCTTTATATTGTACTCATTCATCAAGAATGTAACAAAATCAATGTTGTGTGAAATAATTGCATATTCCATTGATCCATTATCTGGTTTCTTATATTTCAAGCATTCACTCATTATCTCTGGATTTCCTCCTAAAAATGAAAATCTGAGACATGTTTCAGTTATTTCTGAACTGAATTTCGTTCTTAATAGCTTGAAACAATCAACTGCTCCATGATAACAACATATTTCAAGTAATGAATATCCTTTCTTAGAACTCGGATATAATTCGCTTTGAAGTTTTTGATCCTCATCAAAACATTCACTTTCGATAAATACGACAAATTTTTCTTTATCATTATTCATAATTGCCCTGTAAATTGTGTCTGCTGTATGAATAATGAAATCTTCTGATTTAATTTTTTCGAATCCTCCATACTTGTCTATTTTAATTCCATATTCTTTATTAAACAGGAAGTTGGAAATGAATGGAATACTGTTGACCTCCTTTATATGATATTCATCAATTATTAGTTTCGAAAGAGTCAAATATGACTTTGAATAACGGTTATTATATGGAATGATATTTAAAATGTCTACTACAATTTTGTGAGGAAGGAATTTCTTTGAATCAATCAATTCTTTTATGATCTTTTTGTAAATCAAGCTTAATTCTTCTTCATTTTCCGTTTTAAGCTGATACAACGCATTATATAAATCGATATGATATTTGTAGATACTTCGCAACTCACCGAATTTGTTTGGATGAATGTCTTGACCAGACATTAAAAAAATAATGTGTGGGTCTCAAATGTGCTTGTTAGTGGACTTTTTTTTGCTCTTTCGGGACGAATAAAAAGCTTTCATCTTTGGCTTGGCCATAAAATGATTTCATGCAATAGGAATTATCATATTTCAAGTTCAAATCAACTAAGCCGAAATTCAGAAATAATGCAACGGCAAAAAGATTACAACGCAGTAGTCAATCCCATATCACTTAAATACCTCGAAAAATTTATCTCAATGTCAAAACAAAATTTATCAATACGATTCAGTGTCTGACTTCAGCTACAGAACTCAAGCTGATTGAGCATACTAGTTATCTGTTGTATGCGACAAATTTTATTTACATTTCTATTTTTAACCGTTATTTCGACAAAAGCCTCAACAAACAAAACTAATTGCTTTGTCATACAGAGTGAATATATTTTTGTTTACTAATTTCTCTTTTTTTATTAAAAATGTAATAAATACTCAAGCTTTCCATCTCCACATGAAAATGTCCAAACTTTGGAGAAATTTTTAGGCATTTTCTCAAATTTTGCACACTTTCTGGAAGGTTTGTTAATTATTTTTTCAAAAATATCTCATTTATAATAAGTATAAATACTAAAAGTGTAAAATCCAGACAAATTATCATAAAAATCAGTATTTTGAGACGTTACCCCTATTTAATAATGGAGACATGAGCTTGTATAAATTATATTCGAACTCAAGCCAGTTACTTGAGTAAATCACTAGTACATGGTTGCTGGCTATTGGTTTCTGTATCTGTGTCATTTTTTTTTTGATACGCGCTTCAAAAGGTTAATGTGATCTGATATGACATCTTTGATATCCGATCAATCATGCAAGAGAAATACAAGCATAAATTTTTACATCCCATCGTAATCGCAACATATCTCTATAGATGAACATCTATAAGATAAAAAGAATAAATGCTATGAGAATATATAAAAAATTATCAGAAACACTATATTAAACAAAGTTAACTTTATCAAAACAAATAAAAAACAATATACGCAAAATATATTATATATATAAAAATAACAAACAAATATCTATATATATTAAATATACATAATATCTTCAGTAGTATCTTCTTCCATTTCAGTATCATCGATATCTCTATCATCAACATTAATCATGATATAACCATTGTAAATATAAGCCATATCACAAACATAATCAACAACTAAGTCAGCAACACTCTGTGACAACAAGACAGCATTAGGGAATCTGTTCTGCCTGACATCCCTTCCGTCAAAATTGCCATCAATAAATTTTCCTGACATAATCAATGCAGAAATTGACAATTCAAACATCTCTTCGCCTTCTATTGCCACTTGTATCGCGTAATAAGCAGTGCTCAATGCATTCAACGCTGCACATTTAACATCATCGTCTTTGAGACCAAAAACTAATTGTAATTCGCCAAAACTCCATAACAAAAATCTGACATTGAACGGCTTTACAAATCCTTTCAATTTTGAAATAATATTTTTTGAGTGAAAAGAACATGTATCAACTTCTATTGATCTATCACCTTCTCCAAGCGGAACGAAGTTCAAAGACAAGACAATTGCTGTGCGATTCTTCATTTCATCTGTGAAACTCTCCAAAGGATGAAGAACTTTTATAACTTTCTTGTATTCTTTTTTCTTTTCATCGACATCTTTTTTCAAACCGTCCATTTCTTTACTTTTTTCCAAAACAACGACTTTTAAACCGTCAAACTCTTTACCAGTAATAGCTGATGTAACATACTGGTTCACATTTGTTCCAATGAATTTAGACATCACATCATTAAAAGCTGACAACCAAAGGTGATTTACAAAAATTATTTCATCTTTGCTGTCAACAATTGCTGCAGGATATCCAACCAAATCCAAGGTAAATGAGTTATCATTCATACCACTGACAGAGTTACTTCCATCTTCTGATACAGCTGTCCTTATATAAGGTATAAGTTTCGTTAGCATTTCGCTGTATAAAACAGAATGAATGAAATGATGTAATGAACTTACGACGATAGAAAGTAAAATCAAACTCAAAAGGAAAATAAAAGAATGAAGAGAAACTTCGTAATAACTTATATTGTTAAAGTTAATAGTTATCTTCAGTTTCCTTGCTTCTATCAGTTGCAAATTCGATGGCATCAGCTCAGTCAAGAACAAATAAGTTGTGTTCAAAACAAAACTTTCAGTTACTTGTGTAGTATTTTCAAAATACGACCGACCAATTAACTTTGAAAGATTGAATATGATCGAGTAATTGAAAGATGAAGCTCTATTCGTCAAAGATATCATCCTCATCGCTTTCTCGACATTCAGTTTGGCTTTTGTCCGTAAATCAGGATTAATTAGTTGTAATCTTAATCCTGTAATTGCACAGCCAATGTAAAATGTCTGTTTCAGTTCCCTAAATATGTCTTGTATGTTGTGCGATGATGTATCACTAGTCTGCTTCGCAACATAATACATGATATAAACATTCAATACATATAATAAAATAATAACCGTTAACGTACAAATAACCGTCGAAATATAGTAAACGGTTTCATGATTAGTTTCTGAGAGCATTGACGTGACTAAGTTGGACTCTTTCGTCTGGTTACCGTCGTTCGTCGACTCCTGGATCTTGTTGAACTTCATTTTGTAAAATAAAAGTGAAAAAAGGGAAATAAAAACTGACAAAATGACGATAGCTCTTCCAAGTTCACCAGTAAGGGTTGTTGAACGGATAATCATGGAGAGAACTCTTCCCATGGATGTCTGGAATAATACGTCGAAGTTGTCAACGTAATCGGTCAAGTTCAAAAAGAAATTTTGGGAATAATTGTAATATAAGTTGTCTGAACAGCGATCTGAGAACAACATGCTCTCAACAACAGTTATTATGCGATTTCCAACTGTTAGGTAGCTGTAATTGAATGGATCTCCGTTGACTGTCTGACTTATAAGATATCTTGTGGTAAATGAGCTCCAAAGAGATGAATTAAGCTGGCGATTACTCATAAGAACTGTTACAAGGGTCCTATAGAACTCCTGGTGATTCCAACTGTACTCTTCAAGGTAATTTTTCAAATTAATTGAAGAATTAAACGAAGAAGAAGTCTGGGAAAGGCATGGTTCGAATGCAAAGATGAGTAACTTGAGGAATGAAGCTAAGTCCATGTTCAAAGAATCGATTAAAGTGAGCATTCCTGTGTAAATTTGGGTTAAAGTCGTTCCGCTGTAGATAATACACATAACAAAGAATATAAAGGCAAATCCTATGATATGTAAAGCAACGGTAACGACTGAAAAGTTGGAAATTTCGAATTTAACCATGTCATTTGAGATTGCGGACTTCAAAGACTGGTTAAGGGCCTGTTCATTGGAGTCGAAACTCATGTCTTCATCGTTCTTTTCGTTGGAATACTCCGTTTCGTCAAATAATGTTTTGAAGTAGACATCTTGGGTGGTTAGCTCACGCCAGTTCGGAAATTCGTATACGGATATTGCGTTATAACAGTTGCAAAGGTTTCTGGCGATGAATGGGTTCATTACGCACCTTTCATAAAATAATGCACCCAATTTAACGAAATTGAGCTTATTCGGATAGCGGAGGAGCATCAGTTTGACATAAAATTCAAGTTTCCTGGCTAAATAGCTCAAGGATGAACCGTAAATAAAAATATTTGATTTTTTTTCATGTTGAATCACGGAAACTGAAGAGTTAATGAGCTCTGCGTACTTCTGTATGGCAGAGCTCATCCTTGCATAGTATTCTAAGTCTTCTTTATCATTGCTTCTGCATCTATGTTTTTTAATAATTTTGTATTCAAAGATTTTGAAGCTATCGAACCAAAAATGACGATGGAATTTGAATGCCTTGCTCTCAATCTCATTAATATGGGGTATGTTCATTGGCAAAGAGCTCATTAACCTTAATAATTTAATATGAGTTGAATGTCCTAGTTCTTCTTCGTGTTCTAATGCGAATTTGAAGAAAGATCCATCAAGTAAGAGCTTCGATGCATTGAAATACGAAATATAAATAAAATGCATAAATTGACTCTGATTCTTGATTTTTAAGTCTTCAATTTTGTCTGCATTCTCTAGTTTTCGGACAAATCCTTTAACTCTGGCCCTAATTATAAATAAAGCTACTGAATAACAAATAAAAAATATCAAAAACGAAATTGTAGTGTACAATCCCATACTTAGCTTGAATTTGTAGAATAAGTGAAGTATTCCGATGATAAAAACGTATAAATATGAACCACAATACCCAAAATGAGAATAAATTTCAAATTTTGAATAAAATAGTAAAGATTTGGCTTGTATGAAATAGATTATTGATGTTAAGAGATATGCCAATGAACATACTGCTGTTGCATATGTTTTTGTCGAATATGTGCAAAATAAGTAACAAATGAACACACAAACATAAACTTGGTAGTGTGGAGTTTTGTCAAAAGGCGACATCATGTATGATGGTTTATAAAACGATGAAGTGTAGTAAATTGATAGACAAAATGTCTGAAAAACTAAAAGAATCATGATAAAGAGCTGTAGGCATCCATAAGTTATATATCTAGCAGTTGTATTATCGAGAGAAGTAAACAGTGCCCTTGCTGTGAGAAAAACGTTTGGAATCACTAAAAGTCTTCCAATTTCAACAGAAACAATATAAGTAACGAATACGAATGCATTTGAAATCGAAATATGACGCTTGATTTTGAATAAGCCTAACCAAAAAAGAAAAATACTAAAATATGATAAAATTTGAATAATAAGAATATTTGTAAAGGAAGTCGGGTTAAGTGTTAACGAAGGATAGAATGTGATTCCTACCGATGCAATATAACAAGTGTAATTATCTTCATTGGAATAATAGTTGAGAATGATGAGTAAAACACAAACAGTACAGAGTAACTGTGCGTGCATGAGTATTGTGAATAATGAAGCTACTATTTTTGATTTGTTTGCAACGCTGGAAAAAAATAAAAACAGTAGATTGAGAGTTTCATGAAAAGAATCAGTGTTTTCTTCGACCGACGAAATAACTTTCAGATCAGAATATATAGCCCGTGAATCGATTGGTTTCGGAGCATAATATTCCATATCAAAAACACTAAAATTCTTTTTGAAAACTTTTCAAAAAAGCAAAAATTTCTTTGATCAAAAGAAATGTTGCCGATACAAAATCTAATCTTTTCAGCCCGATAACTATATTTTATCAGTTTTTTGCTATTCGTTTTCATTCAATTACTGATTTACATTTTTAGATTTGTTGTTCAGGATTTGGAAGAACTATAAACTTCTCAACTATAAGATTACATCTCGCTCACAATTTTTTCAATAACATTCAGAAAAACAGTTGCAGTAATTTTTGAATGATCCAGACCAGTAATTTTTCGTATTGGCAGACATGTTTCTACATGAAGTAAGAATCAATTCGTCCAACTTTTGCATAGGTTCTTTTAAATCAAATTTTGCTCGATATTATATACTTCATTTTTGATATCGTTAGTGATAAGCACTTGTTTAGATGAGCCATTCATTATCATTACTACGATGATGGTTTATTCCTTTAAAATTATATGTTGATTACTAATTTCAGATGTTTTTTTGATACAATAAGATAGATTCGCAAGAACTACTTTAGAAATATCTGTTAAAAATTAAGAAAAAAGTGTTAATATATATATAATCTTTTCCTAAACATTTAAAACAAAAAATTTTTGAAAATTAAAAAATAAAAGAATATAAAAGTATATTAATATAACATATTACAGCCAATTAAGCAGTCCAGAAGACCTGGGCGATTAAAGCAGGTAATGTGAAAACAATAACACCAATGATAATGCAAACAAAGGCTGTAGAATCGAGGGATTTGATGTAATTGAAGTAGGATGTAAGTTTCTGGATGAAAACGTCGTCACAGCATTCATGACCGCAAACATCGTTTGTAATATTAAGTCCGACGCATCCTTCGAGGCTTTGGAATCTCTGATAGATATAATCTAGCCTCCAGTTCGCAAAAGCTACTTCAGTTGATCGAGCAATAAATGTTGGCGTCGTAAATTTCTTTATTGTGAAGGTAAAGTAAGCAGAAACTGCCTCTAATATTAAGATGCAAAGAATTCCTGAGGCTGCAAGACCAATACCGAATAATTGTACAAAATCGAAGAGAACGTAGAGTGCAGACAAAATAAAGAATCCGACACAGTATTTCAGGACCGGTGTTGTAATGCGTTCACCGTAATCTTGTGTATCTGCGACGACAATTAAACGGATCGCAATTCCAAGAACGATAACATCTAGTATAATCTTTATTGGCTTGACAATATTATAGCATGCTCCCCACTCTTTACGAAAAGCACTTGCTTGCCATTTTTCAAATTTCCACAATAGAAAAATAAATGTCACTTTTCGAAGCAACGTCAAATTTATTTCAATTTTATCAGAAGGGATTCACAATTCAAATTCCCCTGATTCTCTTATTCACATTGCATTCATCTCCCATGGAAATCATCTGTTATTACACAAAAGCATGTTTGACTCTTGACATAAAAATATGATGATTTTGTGAGAGAATGTCAATGGTTTTCGACAGCTATATAGCAGCCACAACTGTTGACATTAATGCACTGTTCGCACTTGTGATGACTGATCATACTTCTCGCATTGCACTGGAGAAAGAATTAACGAAACTTCACCGCACATTAAATTCCTCTGGATTTTTTGGTTGATGCGCAACAAATATTCAGCAATGCTTCATTCCTGGCCCAGAATGGAATTTTTTTTTTGAATTTAAAACGTAACGGCCACAATGATTTAGTATGAGGCAATGGCAGTGGAGCACAAATATGGATTCATTGTAACGAGCCTAAGTTTGTCCTAACTTGGGTTTGCTCATAAAATGTTTCTTTATTCTATTTTTTTTGTTTTCAATGTAGTTATTACTATGTATAAGTGATATTTATTGCTTTCATGTTATAATTTTTGTTATTGATCTTTTTGATCTTCAATTATGTAAATCTGCAGCAATAAGAGTGATATTTTTGCTTGGGATAGAATACATGTATCGAACATGTGTTTTGAAACTAAATTAAATTTCAGAAAAATATGAAGAAAAAGAATATCGTTTATCTCTATGATGAAGAATCTGGAGGCTTCGTTTATGAAAGAAGTCATCCAATGAAGCCATATAGAATAAAAATGACCCATTCATTGCTTTGTGCTTATGGTCTTTTAGACAAATTACAAGTTCTAACACCAAGAAGAGCACGCGTAGAAGACTTAATTCAATTCCACGACGAAGGCTATATAAATTTCATCAAAAATTCTAACGATAAAAACATCTCAAAGAATAGAAATGCCGCAGAATATTACAATATTACAGGCGATTCACCATTCTTCCCAGGATTATTCGAATTTTGCCAAATATCAGCTGGAGCATCTATTACAGCTGCAGAACTCCTAAATTCAGGAAAAACTCAAATTGCTATTAATTGGGCAGGTGGCTTACACCATGCCAGAAAGGCAGAAGCGAGCGGATTTTGCTACGTAAACGATTGCGTTTTAGGTATCTTGAAGTTACTTGAACGTTACCAAAGAGTTTTATATATTGATATAGATATTCATCATGGAGATGGTGTTGAAGAAGCATTTTATACAACAGATCGAGTTTTTACAGTATCTTTTCATAAGTTTGGTGATTTCTTCCCAGGAACTGGTGCTTTGTCTGATATTGGAACTAGAAAAGGAAAATACTACGCATTAAATGTACCACTTCGTGATGGAATGAACGACGAAGATTACTTAGGCTTATTTAAACCGATTTTGACCAATATTATTGAATGGTATCGTCCAAATGCCATTTTCTTCCAATGTGGGGCAGATTCTCTTGCTGGAGACAAGCTAGGAGGTTTCAATCTTAGTATCCATGGCCACGGAGAATGCGTCAGATTCGTAAAAAATTTCGGAATTCCGATGGTCGTTGCCGGTGGCGGTGGTTACACAACAAGGAACGTTTCCAGGTGCTGGACATATGAAACTGCCATACTTTTAGATGAAGTTTTGGACAACAACATCCCAGAACACGAGTTTTCCTCATATTACGCTCCAGAAATGCATCTCAACCAGGAAAGCTATGATATCATCAACGAAAATACCAAAGAAGAAATGGAGAGAATCCTTGAGGTAACAACTGAGAATCTCAGACATCTCCCATGCGCTCCAAGTGTTCAAATAGATCCGATGAGAGTTTTTATGTCAAGCGATGATGATGAAAGAGAATTTGAGCCTTGCCTTGTTGATAAATTCCTTTCACTTGTTTTGTAATATAAATATGTTTTTAGTTTATTAATTTTTTATACATTTATTTCTAGACTTCCACAAAATAAGATGTTTCTAAGTCAGGGATCTTAGATCCAGGTACAAATAATAATTTGAATAGTTTTGAATAAAATCTGCTCAATAATATAGATATGAAATATCATTTACATCATCTCAAGTGAATTTTGGATTTCTGTGATTTAAACGAAAGACTTTTCTAATATTACTGCAACATTAAGTTGATGTCAACAACAACTCCAAGAGATGAATCAAAAATCAGATAAGATTTAAAAGAGGACTTGACAGATGAAAATTCCCTTATTAAATATAAATATTTAGAAAGAATTGGTAGCTAGAAAAGAAAAACAGCTAGCTGATCCTAAATATATATAACAACACCTCAATATTATAACATAGCGAGTACCTAATCCCTAAATATGATTCGATAAGCTTTAATGGTTATACTTTGGCTGGTTAATTCCATAATTATGTTGATATTTTAGGAAAATAAAAAAGAAGCAATGAAAATTAAGGATGCCTGCATACGAGTGGTCCTACGGAATCAAAAAATATCAAATGGAAAATTGATTGAAAGATTGATAGTATGCTATTGTTATCAGATAATTAGCATTCAATTATATTTGAAAGTAATCCGATTTCAAAAGAAATCATGAAAGTTGTTGAGTTATAATTAAAAAGTAATATAATAAGCCCGATTTAAAAATTTGGATGAGCATTGAATTTGTGAACAAACAAATTTAAATTTAAATAATAATGACAAATAGTGTGCAACCATTAAAAACGATCTATTTAAACTTTGAATTTTTTGACACTAAAGGAAGATAAGACTTTTGAGCATTCGAGAATATTAAAAAAGCATTTTAGTTGAAGTATTCGCGCTTTTTAGGGAAAAATATTCAACTTCAAAAAATTGAGAAAACTGAATAACTCAAATCGTTTAAATTTCATTATAAAATCTAAACACCAAATATAAGCATTAAATTTATTTTAAAAACCTATTGAGAAAAATTGTGAAATTATCGAAAGTGGTTGAAAAGATTCTTTTTCAATTCTAGAATTCAGTATTTAGGAAATGGCTATCTACAAGAAATAGTTATTTTTCTTCAATTGCTTTTGAAAACTTCAATGAAATCTATTCCTAAATATGCATGTAAAATGTATATATATTTTTCAAATATTTTTAACAACTTTTTGGGTTATCTCAATTTTCTTAATCTTTTTCTTAACGATATCTTATTGAATGCTGCAGAGAATTGTGATGAAAATTCGATAAATATTTCTAATCTTATATAGAATAATATTTACCCATTTTTCTTAAAAAAACGAAACTCTCAGATTTTAATTTCAATGAGTTAAATTCTTTTCAGCTTTCACAGCATATGAATAAAATAGCCATATATTTAGAAAATACAGATGTCACAATTTTTTCTGTGAAATTAGCAGCTACATACAATTTTTTGTGAGATTGGTCAAAACTCAAAAAATATGAGTTTCGACGCTCCACTTGTGAGGCTTGCTTCCAGTTACATTGTAGAAGTCTGCCCCGACATCCAAGAAGATGTATTAGACTCAGCTACCAATCTTATTAAAAACATGCTTAGCAATAAAATTACCTATCAAACATGCAGCTCACAAGTTTATGAGTTAATCCAAAATACTACTCCAGTAGACCGTATACATGCTATTCTGAGCGTTGATATTAGCTCACCATTACAAGAAGACTTCGAACCAGAGAAGGCACCTGAACAGGGACATAGAAGACGTGCCAGACCATGGACACCAGAAGAAGATCTCCGTCTTTTAGCTGGAATCAACAAATACGGACTTGAATCTTGGGGAGAAATCGTCAAGATTGTCGGCAATGGCCGCACAAGACCACAGTGCAGTCAAAGATGGTTCAGAGGCCTTGATCCAAAAATTAATAAGGCTGCATGGTCTCCAGAAGAAGATAAAAAACTTTTCCATCTTGTTTCCGAATATGGAACCAAAGTTTGGTCAAAGATTGCCGCCCAAATGGGATCTAGAAGTGATGTACAGTGCAGATACCATTACTTCCAATTAATCAAAGGATCGAAGCACGATTCTTCTCACAGATCATCATCGTCAAAGTTGAAATCCAAGAAGATAGAGAAGCAACATAGTTATCCAATTACTGATTTGACATCCGAATCATCTCCAAAGCCAATCGAGGCTAAACCGGCTCCATCAAATTTCCCAACTTTCGATCTCTTCTCTGATTCATTTGAATCAATCCACTCTCTAACATCATTCGATTTGACATCTGCAATTGACGACGATTTTCCTTTTTATTAAGAAAATATCTGTTTGTTCAGGTTGCGGGAGTGGGATTTATAGTTCCTTAATCTTTTTTGTTAATTAAAATTATATATTTATATTAAATTTAATACTGGCTACTTGTTTACTGTCTTAACTAAGTTATCTCCCATCAATTTAATATGAAATTCTGTTTTCATCACAGATTTTGAATAATTTGAATGTGAAATATTCCTACAATACATGAAATTAAATGTTGTATACTAAGGTTCATTGATGTCAGAATTTTTTTGATGCATGTGAAAAGGTGACCAAACTATTTTTTGAAAGTCCGCCATAACTTTAATGGTACTATTTCAGCGTGTACAATGAATACAAAAATTCTAAGAGTGCCACATAAAATAGTACTTTAGACTTGAGTTAATGCTACCAAGCAAATGTTAAAAAGATGACTTTAGTGTTTTGATAATCAAAGATTAAAATCATTATTGTCTAAATCAATAATCATAACGACAGAAGTTAATGTTTTTTCATAAGTGCTTTAAATCCCCTTTTAAAAGTATACCTCAAAAATCAAAATATCAAAAAAAATTGGCCGATAGGTTTGGCTTTAATTTTTGTCTGCTTTTATGATTTGATATGGATGTTATAATTTTAAAAGTTGAACCAAATTCACCAATAGATTTTTGAGATTTGCAAATACTCAATAATTTTCAGCGTGTTATCTTTTATTAAAAGAACTATTTGGTTTCAGTATCATATAAATTGATATTTACTTTCTATTTGAACCTTCATTTAGCTAATGATTTAATAATACAGATTTCATCTAGTCCTTATAAGAGAATTTTGAATTTGTTATAATAAAAAAACAAACAGATATAGCTTACACTTCTATAATAAAGATACCTTTTATAGAAATCAGTATGAAATGTGTTTTGGCTTATTGGAAGCATATATCAGACATAATCGCCATAATCAAAAAATCTATATACCCAATAAGTAATAAATTTGTCGATATAGATTTTCCATAAAATTAGTTTTTAGTCTGATCTTAAAATAAATTTAATTTTTTATAAAAAAAATCACATTTAAAAGTACCTTTTTAGTAGCTCGAAATCCTGTTGGTGGATTTCGGGCGTACTTCAAAATTAGCTTTTCTTCTACATATGCAAGCTATATTTTAAATATGGAGCAAATCGGATCGGCGAAAGTAGTTTAGTTACCTTTTGCATGTGATTAAACTATGGTTGTTAGATTCGCGACGATAGGTGTCTTGGAAGATTTGCCTGGTGTCATCATAGTGTCTTTAAATCAAAAATTTTATTTTGGGGTTAGTTTTATTGATTTTTCAATAAAAAACATTTCTAAAACAAGAAAATAAAACGATAAAATATTTATATTTTATATAAGGATCTTATATATTTAAAAAAAAATATCATTTTATTTTTTTCATTGGTGTCTGTCAAACCATAATACACTATTCAAAAATTCAATGTGTCTTGCGGTTTCAAAAGACACCTTCAAATTGAACGATAGCACAGACACTATTGAATTTTACCCATTGTATTTAGTTTTTACCCTTTTTATTTTTAAGAATTAATGACTGAAACAGCCGTTTTGCTATGACCTCAATCACTTTTATTTATTATTTTAAATATTATTTAATTTTATTATTTGAATAGGCCAACTTATATTTGAGAAGCTCAATTTGAGACCACTTAATACATTGAAATATCATAAATATTGAAATATTAAAAAGTGTATTTCAAAATATTGAAATTATAAAAATTTATAATACTGAAATTGAGACAAATTAATAAATTCAATGTGTTTTTTTTTGAAATAACTCTCAAATATTATTTTTTTGTTTATTTAATGATGAATAAATATGATTGCTTTAGTCAATCATAAAAACTAATTTAAGTTTAAAATAATGAAAGGATAATTTGATCGTTTTTTAAAATACAATTATTTTTGATGATTTTCAAGAATCTTTGAAAAGAATATAATATATGTTCTATTTTTGTAAAATTTATCCAAATCATATATTACATAAATTACGATTAAAACGATGAAAGAACCAAAAAGTGTGTTTTGTGTTTTGTTGTTGTGTGTTGGATGCGGGATCCTGTTATTTCCGAAATCGACAAAAAATTTGGAAATTTAATTTCCGAAATCGAAATTATATTAATGTTTTTAATATTCTTATATTAAAAGAATTAAGCTTCATTAAGAGAAAAACAATTCTTCTTCTTCAATCTATTGGCGCATTTATTTCTACACGCCAATAAGGAAGGGAAAATTATAAGACACCATGGTGTCTTCAAAATGCTAATTTTTGATATTTTTAACAACCCTAGATTAAACCTTCCAAACGTTATAGATCATTTACAATCAGAATGCAATAAACATATATAATTTAAGCGATTTCCATAGTAGATTATCTATTTTAATAGCATTTTATATAACAATTAATATCTTAGAGTGAATAACATAAAATAACAGTGAAACAGAACCAGAGGCCATGCACAAAGGCCAACTAAAGTCCGTGGTTATGATGGCTTGAGAGGTTCTTTCTAGGACCAACAACTGCTTTTGCTCCGGATTTTAATGTAGAGGAATTTGTTCTTCCTGGAGACATACGACCTAACATTGTTGCACTTCCCATCTTCTTTTCGGTTACAACCCTCTTTTTAGATCCTGCGCAAACTGTTTGCGATTTCGGTTGAGAAAAGCATGGTTTTTCGGTAAGAGGATAAAGCAAACAAAAATATGCAGTTGTATTTTCGTTGATTTGGCCTTCTTCCAAATCTTTTGTAATATCTTCAGAATTATAACCAAGTTCGGTGCATTTATCTAATACTGCCTGAACAGGTTTCCATGGTTTACGTTTGAATTTGGCAATATCTTGAATTTTTGGTACGTTATAAAAAACTATCGGATGTGGAGTAACATTTCTGATCTGAGAAAGTCCACGCAACCACGGATGGTTCTGAAGTTGAATCAGAGTCATTCTGTTTGATGGTCTGACCTCGAACATTCTCTTTAAAAGATCTTGAACCGCGGGCGTAAACGAAGGAGGAAATGTTAATTTCGTAGCTTCTTCAATTAGTTGTCTTGGATTTGTATTTTGTGGAGTAAAAGGAAGCATTGCTGTTAACATTGCATATAAACAAACACCTAAAGACCAAACATCGCATTTTTCATCGTAATCAGCACCTGCGAGTACTTCAGGAGCAGAAAAACCAGGTGTACCGACGATTGTTCGCATTTTGTTGCAATAATTCGTGGAAGATAAACCAAAATCTGTTAACTTAACATTGCCATTGGCATCAAGCAAAACATTTTCGAGTTTAAGGTCACGATGAACGAGGAAATGCATTGTATGCAAATGTCTTACTGCAGAATATAATTGAATAAATAATTTTTGTGCTTCTGGTTCCTTAAGCCCTTTCTTTTGGTTTACCATACTGAGTAACGTTCCTCCTGGAGCGCACTCCATGAAGAAATATAATTGATTTTTATAAACAGTTAAGTTATAAAGGCTACAGATATTTGGATGGTCAACTTGCATGAAAACACTAATTTCACGCATAATTCCGACAAATTCACCTTCCTGTAAAGCAGGCAGATTTACAATTTTAACAGCGGCATAAGTTCCTGTTTTTTGATGCTTAGCGAGATGCACCCTACTGAAGCCTCCACTGCCAATTTCTTCTAAAATCTCGAAGTCATTGATCACCAAAGGCTCGTTCGTAGAAGAACCCTCTGCTGGCGATTCAGTCATTGAATTTAGAATTACAAAAACTATAAAATTTGTAACGTACAGTGACGATTTATCAAGTCGTTTTGTCAAATCTTCGAGCCCCATGTTATAGTAAAATTACCTTATGCATCATATTACTTTATAATCGCTTCATCCTTTAGAGTAAGATTAATCTGAACGTCACGGAGTTCAAGTAACACTGAATTACACTTTACTCTAGTTGGATTCAACAAATCTAGAAGTAATAAGCTTAAATCATGGAATTTAATTAATTTATAAGACAAATGAAGATAGTAGCAGAAACCTTTTATAATCATGGAAAAACAACTAAATGTTCCATCTAAGCAATTTAATCCAACAATTAAATTTGAGCGTATTATTTCCTATAATTGATACATTTTATACACTAAAAACACAAACATAACATGTTCCTAATTAATATTATCATAAAAATACGCTTCTTTCATTTAGATGTTTTTCGATCTACTCTTATTTTTACATAATTTAATCTTTCTTTTAAAATTAGATTGTATAATGCAATTAATAAATATTTAACTCATAATAGAGAAAATTTATAAAGTCCGTTTTATTTTAATGATTTACAACTAATGTAACCAATTATCTATCTGAAACATATTATATTATCAATAAGCAAATCATTCACATGATCTGTAACATATTAGAGGTAAAACAAATTAATGAAAAATAATTTCAAGCCGATAATCAAAGATTTAAAAGAAATGAGATCATTTACTCAATCACTACAAACAAGATATAATATAATTACTAATTAAATTAGTAATCATTAAAATTTGTCGGATAACAGTTACAAAAAGAAAAATAATTACTCATATTGCATTATGATTGAGGAGAAGAGTAATCTAGTCAAGATACTAATAGATGTAGCTTCAAATATTAAATCATAAAATTGAAATTACGAGAAATCGTTTGTTCGAGTTAGGGTTACTCGTAATAGCATCATTGAGCAATAATAATATATGGAAGCTTATGAATTAAGGAGAAAAGTATTGAAACTGTTATTCCGAGTTTTACGCATTATAAGTTATACAATTTGAGCATAAATCTGAATGGGAGTTAACGCGCACACAACACTGAATCAGATGCAACGCAAGTTAATCGGATTTGAACCAATGTCGCTTTGACTTATGATTTGTGCGTAGTTGCTGGAAGAAATCCTTTAAAAAGGGATTTGCTAAAGTTTGCTTTCTGTTCTGAAGGTTCTTTTCTTGGGAGGTATTTAATCTTTCCTTTTCTGGTTTGCAGTCGTCTTCAGGTAAATCAACATCATCACAGTCCATCTCTAGTTTACGGTGGAGCTTTTGGAAAAAGTCTTGGATACGCTTGCCGCTCATTGACAGATTTAATTGACTAAAATTATACAGAATTGCACAATAAATTTCCCTTCTCAATCTTGAACGGCTACGGTTTTTTGATTCAAATTTGTATAAATCCTGATAATACATTTCAGCTAATTGCAATATGTATAGTATTATATCAAAAAATTTATCAAAAATTTTAGTTGTGATCGGGGATAGTTTTTAGTAATTTATTGGAAATATTATTTATATGCCTTTTTAAGAATAAACATTTTTGAATAAATCCAATTGTGATAAAATAGTTTTTGAATACTTCTCAATTTGTTTATCATATCATTTTAATAAGTAGTTAAGGTGCAATAAAATTTTTGATAGAAGTAAATCCGATTAATTTCAGTGAATCATGATTTTTTCTTTGATAATCGTAATAAAAAGAACAATTTTAGTAATAATAAACAAAATTCTCAATTTTCACTCAATTTATAAACTTATTATCCTTTCTCATTAGAATTAGTATCCGCCTATAATTATTAATGTTTTCCATTTTCACTCTCCTCATTGAAAAAATCGATGATTGATATTGAAATAAATCATTGAATTCCGGATCTAATTCTATCGTATTTAATAATGATCTTAAAAGTAATCATCTTACCATCATTTCTTTTCTTTAACCCATATACCTTAGTACCCAAATTTCTGAGATTTCTCGAAAAACCAGATTTTGACATTCAAGACGGTGTCAAATTCGTATTCGTCATCCAGATTAAGAAATACACACAAGGTATCTTCATCATATTTCAATCGAAAACATCATCTTTCCAGATTTTTAAAATTTTTATTACGAAATATGAATTTATTCATCGAAATTTATAATCCGAATTTCAAAGAACTTAAAGTTACTTCTGAAATATCAATACTCAAATAAAGATTCCAATATTAAAATTTTTAATAATAAAATAGAACTTATGTAACAGACTTACAAATAATTAGACCAATATTGGTCTGTAGAGGATTTTTCAATATGATTATTAAACATCATTCCTGATGAAATCTGATTTTTCAGATTAGACTCGTTGTTCATGAACTTAGGCCCAACCAGTTCTTCATCTTTTGTAAATCTAATAAAGAGCGGCCATCCATTCTCAATAATGGTGACGTTATCATACATCCTGATGGCAGAATATGCATCTTGAATTGAATCAAACATTATATGGTAACCTCTTATTGGTTTCTTTCCGGAATACTGGCGAACACATTTAACGGCTACAACTTTTCCAGATTTGGAGAATAGATCGTAGATGTCCTTGTCCTTATAAAATAGGGGTAGACTTTTGGCAAATACCGTTTTGGAAGGTTTCCCATACTTTTCACATGAACTTGCAAATTTGGTGTGAATCTTTTTTCCTTTCACCATTAATCCATCCAATGAATATACTGCTTTTGAAGCATCATGTGGATCAATGAAGTCGACAAAGCCAAAGCATCTGGACTTACCTGTTTCAAGATTAATCATGATTTTTGCTGAACGTATACTTCCGAATATGGCAGCAAGGCTCATTAGATCACTCTTTGTAACTTCACTAGAGAGGTGAGTGAACATGACATTCGTTGATGAAATCATCTTTAACGAAAAATGATTTTTAGAAACATCAAATTTGAATAAACTCTCAATTTCTGAAAAGGAGTCAGATGTAAGTTTGTGGTATTTAATAAATCTTTACCATATTGGGTTGCTAATGCCCGGATAACAAAGTATAAAATCCAAGTCATGGGCGTCTCATAAGTTATAGAATTGATTCCATTCAAAACTGTAAAAAATCGTATTCAATTTTTTGTGATGGGAAAGTTATGACATAACATTAGCATTGTGGGAATAATACTGGCGTATTTTAGTTCGAGAAAAATTTCAAAGAAAAATGAGCATTTAATGGGTAATATTTATATTCAACATCACTAAAGGCTTTGAAAGTTTTTAAAGATGAAATTTAAAGAAATTGAAGAGTTTTATTGATTGAAGATTTTATAAAATGGGTGGATTGTTGTTTAGATGATGCATTTATTGCGGAAATCATATTTTGAGCTATTTTATCAATGATATCCATTCATTTGGAAAAATAAAATTATTTTGCAACGATAATTTCCTGTTATGTTGAATTTACACACTAATATCAATACAGAACATCATAACACAAACAATCATTATTTATTTTTTGTATTGAGGCAATTGCAACTGATGCTCAACAATTGAACATAAGAATAATGATAGGGCATAATTTCATAAGGAACAACGAGCTTTATTGCATTATCAAATAAGTATTAGAAATTCTGATTACTCCCTGTATATATACGCAGTGATATTTTAAATTATTAATGATTTGACTCATTTAAAAGGGGGTTAATATATCTATTTATAATAGTTTTTAACTAGAATTTGGCTCATGAAAACCCAGGTGGATTAAACTAAATAAAATATTATATTTCTTTTTTTATTGACCATTTTTCTAATATATTTTCAATTTCATAATGTGGTCTATTCCGATGCAAAAGTTCTGGGAATCATTGACCTAGATAATTAAATTTTATCTCTTGTGGAATTCTAGTTTATCAGTCAGAAATGGCCACTTTAAATCATAATAACCGTATGCAATTTAGGCGCCTATCCTTTATTTTACTTTTTAATTATACTTATTTTTTAATTTGGAAAAGTAGTTATATGATGGGAACACAATGTGATATTCCATATGATATAAAAAATATAATTTCGAGAAAAATAAGATTTTTATTTTAACTACTATTGCTAAAACTGATACTAACTCCTCCACCAGAACTTGAACTTGAGCTTGAGCTACGGCCACCACCACCACCACCACCACCACCATAGCCTCCACCTCCACCACCGCCGCCATAGCTTCTACCACCACCTCTGTATTGTGTTTCTCGATTGCAGCATTCACAATATTTACAGCACAAACAAATGAAAAGAGCCATGAGAGCAATTCCAACAACTATTGGAACAACAATTACAGCTACTAGAACTCCTGTGGATAGTGGCAAACTAGTACCTCCCTCATATTGTGGAGCAATGCTATTTCCAAATTGAAATACTTCTTTGGCATCCGGATATGGTCTCAAAATTTTTTGATGTCTAAGTAAACTAGATGCACCTTTATAAAATCCCGATATTTCTTCATCTTCAAAAGGTTCAGAAGTATTGCGAAACACTGATCTATACGCTGAAAATGATTTAGTATATAAATCATGTCCAGAGTTATATTGAATCCGTGAGATTATGCTACCTTTTGTTATTTCATTTTCACTTTCATAACGTCCTTTATTTGACCAAGTAAGATGATTAAATGAATGTAAATTATGAATTTCGATGTTAAATTTCATTTGTTTGAACGCAGAGATATTTGTTAAAATATTCTTGTATTGATCTTCGTTGTGCACTAAAACATAGAAATTAAAATCATTAGGTGGAATAACATAAATATCATGGAATGAATACTCAGAGGGATTTGAAATCGTTAAGTTCAATTCATGATATGTTTCGCTTTCATTGAGAGGTTTGATAGTAAAGAATGCTGGTGATGTTGCATTAATAACATCGATACCTGTATTACCTAAAAATTCTTTGCCTCCTTTTTCAACCATTGTGAATTTTGGTCCATTGTGAAATACCAATGTACATTTATCGAAATTAAGATCAAGACCATCTTTAGGTATATTTATTCTATAATAATATTCATAGTATCCGTTAAGTGCTGAAGTTGAACTGTAATCATTTGTTACATTGCTTTGAACTGTAATTAGGTCTGTATGATATATAATTTCACTCTTTCGGAATTTGATATCTCCTGCTGGATAAAATGGAAGAGAGTACAAGATATCAAAATCCTTAATGTTTTGAGGTCCCATTTTAATAGCAAATGATGATCGATAATCTTGTTCGTATGTAGAATAATATCGATGGAAATTCGTATTTTCAATTGTGTATGATGGAGCTGCCACAATTACATATCCACATACTGTTTTATTTTTATCGCTTATAATCAAATTTTTCTGCTTTGAATTCGAATCTAAACCGGCGTAGAATGGCTTTTGATCGTTTCTGAAGTAGATAAACTCTTCATCACAAGTTCCAATTTCTTCAGGTTTTTCGAAAAGTGTGTAATAGAAAACAACGTCTTTTGTTGATGTTATTGTCACATCATAACTTGTATCACTATAATATGTTTTCTCACTGATTGGAACTGGATTTCTGACTGAAACAATTTCGATATCTTCAATCATATGGGAATAAAGTAGCCAGAACCAAAGGTTTCTCTAGTTATTGGTTGAGAAGCTTTTAATTCAATTGAACCGAACCCTGGTCTTAAATAAACAGCTTCATTCAAAATCAAAAAAATTTTACGATAACTCAGGATGTTAATGATTGTAATATCTTCTGTCAAAGGTACATTCACTAGGCGATAACAGTAAAATGGGATGAAAATAGGATAAATAGCATCCCTATATAGTGCCTAACAATATTTATACGGGCCAAAAAAAATTTGGCTAGAGATTTGGCGAGTTAGAAAACTTAGAAAATTGAGAGGGATTTTTATTTTTGAATTTTTTTTGGAAAGTTAAAATTGCGATTAAAAATCGATTTCCGGGAGAACTAAGCATCTCATCATATATTTAAATCAATAAAAATATTAAATAATAGTTGAATAGTATAACTACGTGAAATTATGGCTGAATATACAGAAAAAATGAACATATTTGACATTTTTGAAAATTCATACGTTAGATGGTGACAAACTCATAAACTATACTTTAGCTAAGATTGATATATGGTTTCAACAACACATGGTTAAAATCGTAAAAATATTTTAGATTTCAAAAAGATATATATGGTAATATAATGGAACAGAGTCAACAAATAGCATGTAAAATATGTTAGAATTAACTTTTTATTAGATCTAATAGTATATATCGAATGGTTTCCAGCTTTATGGTTAATTATTTTCTTTTCGAGCTTCTCTTTAACTGTTGTATTAAGGTTGTAAATTTTTGATGCTAGAAACTATGGAATCTTCTTTGCTGCTGCATTTTTCTTGAGAGTTCTTGCAATTTCGAATAGATCTGCGCATTGTATGAACTGGGGGCTTTAAAATATCTTGAATCATAATAGGACTGCTTTTCCAAAGGAATGCTTATTTGTAAATCAGAGAGTTTCAAAATTGAGTGCAAGATTATCATCATAACTTTTGATTTTGGTGCAAAAAAGGAAGACAAGCTATTAACAAATCATTTACTGTTGTTCATCAAAAGAAGAAAACTTTGATAACAACTAATGATGATAAAATCAAGCTATCTTTTAATATTTTAAATTGATAAGACATTCAAAATATTTGAATGGTTTAAAATATTTTCTTTTAATTTCTATAAGATATTATCATGATTATATAATAAAATTTAAATTTTTATTCAAAAAGGCAATATTTCAAACTTTTAATTTCAAAAATCTTAATTCTGCAATAAATGTATTTAATTGTAGCAAATTTAATGATCCTTCGTCATGCTTAGCAATTTGGAACTCATAAATTAATGATTTCTTCAAGTAAAATTCTGCATTATTTCAAAAGTCAATAATTCTCTAGTAACTTTTCTTCAAACCCTAACCATTATATTATAGGTATAATGGAGAATAATTGCAAAGAAAAATAGCCGAATTTACTGGGTAGTTCTTGTGATGCGAAATAATTGCAAATTAACACCTAGTTTTAACAGCATCAATCTCTTTTTGCTCTCATTTAAATGCATTCGCACACTTTAATTTTGAAATATAAGAGTTTTGGAAATTATCAAATTTATCTGCTCAAATACTATAGATCTTCATAAGTGTTAATAGAATCATTAGCCTTACATATAGTGTTTAATATAATGATGCACATTATACTGGGATTCATTCCTTATTCATCTAGTTATTATAAGATTTACAACCCCATGAAAATTTAAAATTTTTTCAAAAATAGTGAATGTACCTTTCTTCTGTCAAAAGACCTGTATTTGTATCTGTGAGGTTCTTTTCTATGCCATATATATGTACTAGCGTATTATTCACAAAGGTGAAATCTGGCTTTTCTTGATCAACTTTAATAAAAACAAAAAAGTTTCGGGTTTTGATGAGAGAACTATCGTTGGTAAAGTAAAAATCTTCTTGATTTGTTATAATTGTCAGATTATAATCGTATTCTGTAAAATTAATGGGAAAATATGCATATTTTAATTCGGCTTGTGTTCCATCAGTTGGCTTGATTGTAATGGTCATATTTGTTTTAGCAGCTATATATTCTTCTGTAGATTCTGTTTCATTATTTATAATTGTTAGGCCTGTTTTATCAATGAAATAAATAACATCTTTCTTTGGAATATCAAAACTTTCCTCTTTCGTTATGGTGGTAGATTGAATACCGTATTTGAAAGCTAGCTGAAGAAGCGTTAAAATCATTTTATGATTTCAGAAATTGTTAATTATTGAATACTTTCATTATCGTTGCTTTTAGTATACTATGATTAACCATTTAAATACAACAGGTAAAATTCCATATCATGTCACCTTTCCGTTTATGCTATCAATTATTCTGAGGATGTGATAGTTTTTATTCCATTTTTATTTTGCAATATAGAAGAATGGTAAATATGTACATTGAAAATATAAGGAAAATCTCGTAAAGATTTTGAATATAATTCAATTCCAATACTTAATGTAATCGAATTTACATCCAATGCTGATCATTAATCAGTAAATTTGGATTTTCAGATACATTCAAAAAGCAAATCAATAAAATCAGAAGATTTTCATTTAACATATAGTATTTGTAGTGGTAGGATAATTGCTATGATTAATTTTTATGTGTAGTCTCAATATATAAATTCAGAAGAATTGAACATTTACCATGTAATCTGTACTACAAAAAATTGTTTCTTTTGTACTTGTTTTGTTATAAAAAATTTCATGGAAATAGGGAGTATAAAGTGAAGAATGAAAAAATATTAACCAAAACTCTGTTTATACTGCTTGGACGTTGTAAGACATAACGCAAAAAGTAGGATTTTCAATGATATCCCTCCTTTCGATGAATAATATATGAAGATCAAGTGTTTCGATTAGAATACATGATTTTCTCAAGAGCATTCAATACATGTCACAAAGCAAAGATCTCTTTAATTAATAATTTGATAAGCAACTTTTGGATTCAGAAATGATTATGAACATTTAAGTAACTGCTTTCTACAGATAACATATCATAAATTTGTGCATTTTTGCGAATGCCTTATATATTATACTGGATTATATTTAGAAATTCTGAAATTCATATCTAAATACTAGCAACTTGAATACCGAACATACTAGCATTTGATATCATAAAATTCGTATATTTATACACTGCTACTCAGCCTTTTTATTCCTTTCTTATTATTTGAGTAATTTTCAACATTTTATTTTTCTAGTACATTCAATAACCTAAAACTATATTAATGGATGAATGTTATTCTTTATATTTTCAACCATTTTTACTGAATGCTTAATGGCTATTTCAATCTCCGACCCGAGAAAGGAGTTGAAATAGCCAAGGTGCTCATTTCAAATCTGACCAAAAGTAATTCTAAAGCGGATCATATATACAAAACAGTTCAAAGCTATCAGCAAATTTGTTATTTAATTGCTCCTATTCATTTCCTTGTTTCTAACAATAACTATGGAGATAGCAAATCATACAGCGATATAATCACCATTCTTTATTATTGGTATTCGACTATTTACCATAATTTCAAAGAACAAGAAATTTTAAATATTATTTCCGAAACAATACAAATAATTCTCGAGATGACAAACTTAACTGAGCCTATAATACGAGATAATGCACTCCACGTTCTTGAAAAGATTATTCGAGAACCGGTTTTCGAATATTCCGAATCAACATGGAAGATCATCATAAACAAATGCATAGATTTCTATCCACTCATTACAGAACAAAAATCATCTAAGCTATTTCGGTTGATTGTCTGCTCAATTGATAAGGCCAATTTTGAAGCAAAAATTAGAGTTGAAACAATACAAAAACTCAAACCAAAATTAACAGAAGAGGATATCAGTTTTATTCATAATGCAGTTGAAGAGTTTATCCACAATTCTTCTGAAGATTCTTCATTCATACGAATTTTATGGGACATTTCTCCTCCGAATATAGTTATTAATGCATTTCATGAAGTTTTAATAGAATCCCAACAGTTTTCATCTGTTTTTATTCCAAATTTATCTTCAGATTTAATTTTAGAAACGTTTTCCAATTACTTATTCATTAATTCAGAGATTTCTAAGTCATACTGCCTTGCATTTTCTCAATTATTTGGCATTTACGGCACAAAAAACCAAGAATGGTTAAATTTATTCGTAAAATACATAAAATACCAAATATCTAAGCAGTCATTTGACGTGAATGCATCATTACTAAGCCTTAGAGGCGCAATTACAGCTCATCCAGATCTTTTTTATGAAATTTCAATTTATCTTCTAAATTTCTTTTCCAAAAACGAATCAAATGCAAACATATCATCTGATGTTTTAGAATTCTGTGTCATCGTTGACCAATTAATTGACATTTCCGATAAAAATTACAAATTTTATTCATTAATGCTGAAAAACATCATTGAATCATATTATTTACAGCTCCCAATACAATCAATAACTGTAGACATTATATTTATGTTCCTAAAACACCACGCTCGCATTGATTATTCAAAGATTTCAAAGAAATTAGGAAAAACTATGCTTCCTTCATTACTTTTACTCATTTCCACGCATCCAGAGCTAATGGAATATGGCGTAGTAGGCGAAATACTCAAAGAAACCCTTACAAAACTCAAACATTTTTCATTCAAAATTATTATCACAATTTTTAGCACTTTTGTTCATTTTCCACTTCCCAAGACCGTTAAATATCTCATATCCGACCTCCGAACCAACGGATCCGTTCCCTGCGATGACAATTGTTCCGAAGTTTTCAGAATCTTAGACACATCATCAGTATCCGCTCCCATTTACATTCTCGATGCGAACGACATCCAAAACATAACAAAAGATGTCGTAGGAGAAAGGATTTTCGTATCGAGTCCGACCTCTCTTTTTTCATTTTCAAATTTGAATGAAAAACGATTATTAATTTTGAATTACGGTACGTATGGTCTGATCGGATTTATTGCGAAAGGGTTCCCTGATGACATATCATTGAAGAAGAAAGCGTTTAACTTCCTAAACAGAGCCGGAATTGACGTAATTTCGAATTCGATCAAAATCGTCAGCCAAAAGCAACAGGAACAGATGAACGTGTTCGAAAAGGACTGGTACAAGCCATTAGTAGCTGTTCCAATACTAAATCTCAACCCAAATTCCGATGATTTGTTCGAAAACGAAAAAATGACAGAAAATTTTTCGAATTTTGTCAAAAATATAGCGACAGAGTTCGGAAATATATCATTTAAGATACAACACATACAGTTAAACAGCTCCTCGAACGTTCCTATCACTGCATATCCCAATTTCAAAGTTGCTTATATTTCAAAATTATTCTTTGACAAATATGACTTCCTAGGTACTTTAAGCATCGCCAAATCACTTATTATATTCGATGACGGCGATTACGACATCAATGTCGATAAAATTCCTAAGGAAGCAGAGAATGTTTTGCAAATTAAACCTTTGAATGACAAATTTTACGCGTTTAGATTCATTAGATGTACTGAATCATTTAGTAGGGAATTCTCCATCGTTTCTAGAGAAAATGCGAAATATTACATTTTCTCTTTCATTGCTCCTTATGTTCTGAACAATTCTTGGTCAGCAATACACGAGGCACTGACAAAAAGAAAAGGTTACATAGAGTATTTCTCGAAGAATAATAATTCTCTAATTTCCGAGCTAGAAGGATATCAACTCATACGTTAAGGGTGCACCCATATGTACGTTTATTTGAGAGGATGAGGATTACCCTCTCAATTTTGAGGGATTCGTTAGTTTATTTTCTCGATGAATATGCAATAAAATTTGATTTTTACCTTATCAATATACTTCATATAATATACACATGTTCATGTAAAAACTTTTTTCCAAAATCCTCAGGAATTAAGGGATTTTTGAATTTTAAGAATTTTTTTCGAATTTTTTCGAAAAAAAATATTTTCACAACAGCCTTAACGGCTAAGATTTAGGAACAATGTTAAGTATCAAAAAGAAAGGAGGTCTGATATAGACAACATATATCGTTGAAGGTTGAAAAAATCTCTAATATTTGAGCCCAAAATTTCAAATTTTAATTTTTTGAAAAAAGAGGCCACCCGTATGTACGTTTATTTGAGAGGAGGAGGATTATATTTTTGAAAGGGTGAAACATTATGAATATGTTAATTATATAATAATATGTATTATTATAAAAAAGAAAAAATAAAGCATGTTAAAATTTTTCTTTCTTGATTTTTTACAAAATCTACTTAGAATTATGCAAAATATGACTAAATAATTATAAATTTCAAGTTAAATTTTAATTTTGATAAATAATTTAAATTTCAAAATATCAAGTTCGGTTCGACTATGTATGTAGTAATTCCTCAATAAAGTGCCAAAACCCTATTAAAATATATGAACATTTTCAACATTTTAATGTTTTTATTTAAAAATTTGATGGAATATGAGCTTCAAACAATTATTATGTAAATAAAAATAATTAAATATATGTATTTATTCGTATTACAACCGTAGTAAGTCGATTCTTCCTTTCTTCTACTGAGTTTTGAATTTGATTTCGAATTGTAAAGAGATTCAAAGGGAAAATACTAGCGGATAAAAACTACCTCCATGAAAGGGTCATAATGGACTCAAGTTGTATTTTTTGATATTTTTTGCTTTTCGAGCCTAAATAGGTAGCCAAGATAATGCCTAAAAATAAGGTTCTAAATTCTGAAGTTTACATGATCCTCTCGTGTGCACCCTTAATATTTTCATATTTTTATTTGTTTATTATTTTATAAAAAAACAAGAAATTCTATTTATTTTTCTAACGCCAATTTTTTTTCTAGCAAATAAGTGGCAAAAACGCCATTTTACAAATGTAAACTTTGTAAAGCTAAAATATCATTTTTTCGGAAATTTTACCGTTCTCGTTTTGATATCCTCTTCTTGTTTCACCTTTATAATATCTGTTTTCCAGCCATTTTTTAAAAATTGAGACATCCTCTAATTGCATTGAAATTTTGAAAACCAAATTCTGAAAGATAAATTATCTATACTATAAAAAATTGAAAAATTTTATAACATACGATTATTTTTTTTAAAAAAAAGGTAGTGGGGCCTCCAGGCACTTCGTGCCCTCTAGCCCTGAAGATGTTTAGTATAACTTTGTCCGGACAAGTAAGGGTCTATCGTCGCTACAGGAAAAGTTACGGGCGTTCCAAGGAAGTATACTTTGAGAAGCCTTTCCCCCTTATAGAATGAGATAGGACGGTTATTTTACAAAACTGACAACACTTTGACCGAGTAGTTTTTTGTTCTGAACAAAAAGTGTCATATAAACATCTGTCAAAAACCGTTTTTTACTTCACTTAAAATGCCACGTAAGCTACGTAAGAATATACGTAAGAGGAAGGGAGCATTGAAACATCCAATAGTAAAACTGACACCACAACAACAGTTGCAACAACAAATGATGAATGACCCCACTATGTTGCAACAAATGTCAAGCAACCCTATGCTTTTAAGCCGAGTTATTGGTGCACAGAGTGGAGGTTTAAGAGCGGCACTTTTAGCGAAAATGGCAGGCTATGGTGGAGCTGCAGACGGAACAGCTTATAACCCTCAAAGTCAAATGAATTTGAGTTCACTCAAAAATCAAATAACAGATGTCAAAAAGTCAAACATAGACATACAGAAACAAATAAGTGAAAACGAAAAGAAACTAGAATATGACAGACACACACAAGAAACTCAATGAGTTAAACGTAGAGAAAAAGAAGAAAGAAGAACAACTGAAAGAACTAAGTACAGAGGAATATGCAAAAAAGTGTCAGAAAAAGCAGCAGAAGTAGCAAAAATGGAACAAGATGTTATAAATTTGAAAAGCCATACTACTCAATAATAAAGTACTGAAAGATGAAGAGATAAAACAAAAAGCCCTGAAGACATATATGGATAGCGATGAGTATAAAAAAGAAGTTGAAGCAAATGTAAAGGCAGAAAAACTTTTACAGTTGCAAAACCAAACCGTACAGTATGAAAACTTAGCACAAGAAAGTAAAAATAACGACGCAGCCATGCAAAAGGCAATGAAAAGCGCAGAATATATAAAAGCTAATAATGATGGTTAGATGCCCAAGCCAACGCTAAACAGCCCAACTTATAGGGTCAATAAGGACAAAAATACAAGCGGATGAAGACAGTTCAAATGAAGCTTTAATGAATGCTGACTTTAAGAACGCCTTCGAAGCTCTTCATAGTAAGGTGAAACTAGTGAACGACTTCTCATCTGGAAAGAAACTGAAGTCTGAAGGTTTCGACAACGAGTTAAGAGAAGTAGCACAAAATATGACGAAAATAACAGATGCAGCAACGAGACAGGCAGTTCAAAGTACCTATGACGCCGTTAGAGCAACTGTTGTGGAAAGTCAAGAAAAAGAGTTACAACAGACCAAAACAGACCTAGTAAATGCTTTCTTAAGAACGAAAAGTCAGGTAGGACATTATGCTGCAGATGGAACATATGTGCCAGCTGGTGGAACTTATATACCACCAAACCCTCCAAGAGAAGCACCTGCACCAGGACTACCTAAAACATTTACATCGTCACATGGACACAGACACAGGCATGCACCAAAACCAACAGTTCAAAACACTGCACCACAACCAACAGTTCAAAATCCAGCACCACAACCAACAGTTCAAAACACTGCACCACAACCAACAGTTCAAAACACTGCACAGCAACAATCACAAACAGAGCAAGGACATAAAAGAAGTAGAGAACAAGGAAACCAAGAATTCTTAAAAATGCTTAAGGAAGACTATGGTTACCCAGATACTCTTGACTTTAGTGACAGATATAAAGAAGCTATTAGAAAGTTCAAGGAAGGAAATACTGACCCGAACCTATTTAGCTTTATGGTTCAGCACCAAATGGGATATAATTTCAAACCTGGAAAATACAAGCTCGCTAAGGGATATGATTTAATAGCATATCATCCAAATGACATGGATGAATTTACTCCGAGATATTTGGTGTCAGAGCTAAATGATAATTCAACTCTCTTCATGAAACGCGTAAAAAATAGAGACGGAACGAAAAAAGAAAGGTTTATGAGTCCGGATGACTTAGATAGGGAACTTGTTAAAAACGGTCTCGGAATATATGAAATGCCAGCAGATGAGGTACAAGAAACTCCACAGGAAGAAGTTCAGATACAACCAGACATGGAAGAAATAGTTCAGCAACAACAGCTAGAAGAGCCTGAAGGAAACGAACAAATCCCTCCTTTGGAAACTAACTTCACAGAACTAGATGAAGATTTGGAACAGCCGAAAAATCTTGACCCTCAACAAGAGTATGCGGAGAATATGGAATCTTTCCAAGAGTCTAAGAAAAATTCGGCTGACATAGTAGAAGAATATCGAAAAATGTTCGCCGACATACAAAAGACTCCAACATCAGATGAAAATATTCAGCATAGAATGGAAGAACTGAAAGAAAGTGTACGCAAATACAACAATCCTTTTTACTTACGACCATATAACGTTCAATCTTTGGCTGAACTCGGTGAAAATAAAAGGTTAAATTTCACCAAAACATATAGAAATGAAACATTGTTTAAAGTTCATTCAGAACCTAACCAATATGGAAACAAACCTACTTTTGTTTCTGCAGACTATGGAACTACAATGAGATGGGGTCATAAAGCTAATCCGGATAGGTGGTTCATAAACTTACAACCACAATTCCAAGAAGTTGTAGACGCAATGGAAGTGAATGGTGAACCAGATATAGCTGGTATTTTCAGCGCGGCTTTAATGCCATTGAAAGATATGAAACATGCAGATATTTTGGACCAGTATGAAATGAACATGGCTGATGGAAATATAACACCTGACGTTCTAGAACATTTATCTCAAAGAACTACACAGAACCATAGAGATGGTATATTTGGTGAGAGAGTTTAGAAAGAAAGTTAGGGAGATAGAAGGAAGAGAACCTATTGTACATGACCTTGCAAACGAAAGTTTACAAAATGTCATAAAAACTTACTTTGCAGACAATGAACTGAGAAGGGATGAATATTTAAGAAAACTCAAATGGACAGTACCAAATGAAATGTTAGTATTGAAAAACATGTTCCTTGACAAAATAAAACCAACTACAGAAATAAATGACGCAAGACTGAAACATTGGGTAAAAGCTTTCCCATTCACAAAAGATATTATTGGTAACATGGAAAGAAAACCAGAATGGCTACAAAAACATATATTTGGAAACGAGCTTATTCCATATGGACAAGCTCTGTTTGAAGAGCTTGAAACCGGAAACTCAGGAAAGAGTCATGCAAACAATACGCGAAGACTCAAATACAAACTATGACAAAATCTTTCTAGGATATAGGTTACCTGAGATGGGCGACCAGAGCCCAAAGGCAAAAAGGACATGGGAAATTTACAACATACTAGGTGAACATGAGGCAAAGATGCAACAACTTGAAGCAGAGGGCAAGTTACCAAAAGCGACACCAAAGAAGAAGAGAAGAGTAGAACAAAGTGAAAGTAGTGAAGAAGTAACTTCATCTAGTGAAAGTAGTGGCAATGAAGGAAAAAGAAGAGTTAAAACTCAGTCAGGAAGAAAGTAAAGCTTGGTACGAGTGGGTTCTATTATGACATATAAATCCAACTATTCTATATTTTTACCCATATGAAAT